ATCTCTCTCTCTCTCTCTCTCTTTCTCTCTGTCTTTTGGAAAATCACTGCTGAGCCCGGAGTGGGTCTACATCCACAATGACAAGGAAAACAGGGTGGCGGCATCTGTAGGGCACGGGCGGGCATGGGGCACCAGAGAGGACACCAAGGACATAGCATCTTACCCAAATGGAACCACCATCCTTCTGTTTGTGAATTCCCCCTCAAAATTCTATTCCCCCTCAAAATCCTTCCAGTCTCAGATTGGCAGCAAATCGTGGAAACAAACCATCAGGCTGAGGAACACTCTGCAGACTCCAGAAGGTCACCGATGGGAAGTCCCGGCACAACCTGTAGAGATTCTGTTGCCCCCAGCGGGCATCTGGCAATGTCCACAGACATATTTGGTTGTCACAGTGCAGGACTGCGGCCGGCTTCTGGGGGCCCTTGACATTCAGTAATGCCCTTGACAGCCCCCACCAGAGAGAATTCTAAGCTCCACATGCCAACAGTGCTGAGGGTGACAGGCCCTGGACTAGACTCTCCTGGAGATTAGAAGGCAAGTCTGGCCACTTTGAAGTCCTGGAGTCATTTCCAGAAGACTGCGGAAAGCAACATCTTACAGAAGCTTTGCTCCTGCCTGCCAGGGCCACCTCATTAAGAATGGGCTGCGTCCTGGACTGGGTACACATGCCCTGATCGTTCAGACATTCCAGGACAAAACAAACTCATACACATACCCAGGCATATTTACTCCTGACCACCTCCCTGGCACTTTGACAAGTATTAGTAGAGAAAACATCCAAACAGACCTGCTTTCCAGAGGTGAAAGTTTACCTGGGTCCTCATGTCTGAGATACACCAGTTTTTGGGGAAAGGCAGCTTTTGCCACCAGACAGGGACTGGCAACAGACCAAGGATGGGGTAGGGTTGAGGGAAAGAGGGGAGGCCAGGCAGGTGTCAGCCACTGAAGGCCACATTCCCATTTGTGGACCATCTGTGTTGAGTCCCTGGAGGGCAGGGCCCCTCCCTCAGCCTTTCAAATCTGTTTTCCTGGCTCCTAGCTCTTGCGTTTAATTGTTGAGCCACACAGGACATCGGGATGCAGGAGACTTTACAAGGCTTGGGAGAAGGCAGGGAGTATAGGGGGCCAGATGAATGTGTCTTTCTCCTTGCTACCTGCAGGCAGTCCCAGATGAACTTGCCCATTCAGACGAAGGGCTTTGTGGGGAAGGTGGGCATGGTTACATCCTGGAGGGCTTGGTGGTGGACAGGGAAATATACAGGCAAACATGGCCAGCTTAAAACAAAATCTTAAGTCCATGGTTTTCCTAATCGCATGAATTAAAATGGAGGCTGATGCTGTAGGCAGCGGGGAAGGGGCCCAGATACCTGGCTTACACATCCTGGCAGGAACCATGTTTGCTCATGATCTAGGCCAGAAAAAATCTCTCTTATTTTGGGCTCAGGGCAAAACCTGACCTCCTTTTGGAAGCCTCAAACAGGTGGCTGCCAAGAGTGTGTTTTGGCAAGAAAATCCTGTGCGTTCGAAGGCCATGGGTCAGTTATTTTCTGTGCCCCTAGGCACGCTGGACCTTGGAGGGATTCACCCCGCTGGCTTGGGGAGAAGCTGGCTCTCTGGTCAGCACTGCAAATTCATCTTCCCTTGAGCCTGTCTTTTTTCATAAGACCCCTTTCCTAGCTTAGAGGCAAGAGTCTTGACTTTCTCATTGGTTCTCATGCTCCACAGCAGACAGGGCTCCAGATCTTGTTGATTCAATCCCTGGAATCTCTTTATCACCGCATCTGCTTCTTGCCTCATTCAAGCCCTGGCTACTACTGTAATAGCCTACCGATAGTTCAATAAGCCAGCTGTCTGTACTCTGTGCGGCAGTGAGAACATTCTTTTGCAAGCTTAAATCACCTTGTTTTCCTCTTTTAAAAAACATTCTCAAGGATTCCCTGTTGCCTACCAAATAGGGTCAAAAATTCCTTGGCATGCCACTGACATCTCCTCAGCCTCCCAAAGCGACGTCTGAAGCCAGCCCTGATTTATCCGACATGCTCCCCATGCACACCTTTCCTTTTTCTCTTCTTACTTGCTGGCAACTTTATCTCCCTAAACCTGCTGGTGGCATCCCACCCATTTCTCAACCCCCAGACGTTTATGTTGATTCTCTGAATTGTGTACCTACACCCCAGATTCTGCCCCTCTATAAGAGAGGAACTGTATTTTGCTCTGTACACTCCCTGTGTCCTCCATAGACTAGAAAGACAAGAAATATTATAGTTAAAGTTAAAAAATAAAATTCAATAGTTTACAATGGGCTGGGTACTGTGACTGTGTATTTTATGGACATTATCACCTTCAATCCACTTTTTAATCTAGGTGGATGTGTAGACTCAGCTGCTAGCCCATGTCTGCAGAAATGGAGGCAGAGCTCGCCTTTAGATTCAGGTCTGTTTCTAAAACTCCAGTTTAAACTCCTTTAAAAGACAGATATCTGGCTGTCTCACTCTGTAGAAATCAAGGGAAAACCTCTTTCTTCATAGGGAGTTTACTGTTCTTTCCTAACACAAGGTGCAGGAATTGGATTCATAGTGAGGATAGGAGAGCATGGCTATCTGACTTTTCTTTGCAAGGAATGTCTCATTCCACCTGGTCAAACTCACTTTTGTTAAATGGAGATGGAGATACTTCCTGTCAATTCAAAGGGGAGAGGGAAGTAAAAGGTCTGCAACCTGGGCAACCGCCAAGTGCCCATTCAACCCTCTTGTTGCTCACTGTTAAATCACATTTTCCAATTTATGGCTACTGGAACTGAACTAAAAGCCACCACAAGGGGGCAGCATTTACCCACCCTGGATCAGAATTAAACCTTAAATCAGCCTTTCACGCTAGACTTTGGATAGGTTCATTATAGCCAGGCTTTCGGTATTAGGGATTCTGGCAAATGAAAGAAATACATCAGAACTGTCTCCTGCCTCTTCACCAGGAGTTATGAAGCAGCTTGTATTGAGGGCTGAAAGGTGTTTACTTAATAAAAAAAAAATCCTTCTTGGGAAGAAAGATGAAACCTGGTAATATAATCATTTCTTTGGACTTCTGATAAAACAAAATGACATTTCTATCTGCCTGCCTGCTACTGGAAGGTCAGGGATTTATGAAGAAGGTGGCTAGCACATAGAAAGTGTTCATAAGTATTTATTCAGTGATGGAAAAGCATTCATGCATAAAGCTTCATTTGGAGAGGGAAGCGCTGATCAACTCCTCTTTGGTGGAGGCTGGACACCCCAGCTCAGTCCCTGGGGAGCTAGTGACATGTTAGCAGGTGTCTCCAAAAGGCTCAAAGGGTTGGCAAGAAAGCCCCCTTGGAAGGAACACAACCAGGCGTGGTATCTATCATGTTTGCAGGAAAGAAGTGGTTTTCAATAGGCTTCCCCCCAGGTTAGAAAGGGTTGGCGGAGCATGCCGGGTGTTTGGTCTCTGCACCACGGAAGTCTGAGCAGGAGGAGAAAGGATTAAAGGAAGGCAGGGAAGTCACAATGGGCATGAAGTCGCACTCTGCATGCCTGGGATGGGACACCAGGGAGGGTGGAGGAAGGTGAGATACAGTTTGCCCTTTGACTGTAAGTGATTCAGAGGTTGTCCTCTCCTGGAGATGCCTCTTTGGCACCCACGATCTAAGGCCCCCTTAAAGAGGGCCAGGGCACTGTCTTTTTGGCAGGCTCTCAAGCTAAGTATTTAGAAAGAAATGCCCACTGTGCAGTGTAAAAGAAAAGCGGTATTTCTGTAGGACAAGACAAACAGGAGAACCCGACTGGATGAATGCTTCCTTTCCAGCCCTGGGGCCCCAGGGCAGTCTCCTCCAGGCAGTCCCTGGGGGCCAGTGGAATTTCTTGGCGCTCTCTGGATGCTGCCTGCATTGATTTCTAGCACTTCTGTGTAGAAAGGGACCCTCCCCTTTCTTTACTCTGAGAGGAGAAACTCAACAGGTTGCCTGCCAGGGAAGAGAAATTGCACTGGCTCTGATTCCTGCCAGTGATCTCACTGCCCACTTTTGATCTGAATCGAGGATAATTTATTTGTCAAAATTATTTGACCAGGTTAAAAATTTAGGGGAATCATTTTGAGAAGGCCAAAAGGATGAGGGCCAGGTTCTTCCCACCCTGGATTGTGGTCCTGTGGATGAAGCCACGTGGCACCTCATACGGCTTCCCTCTCCAACCTGACTTGCTTTAACTGGCTTCCATCATGCCATTCCCAAGGGTGCAACAGCAAGCCCCACTTGGGGGAATAAAAAAATAACAGTATTTTTCCCTGATAGTGTTTCCAGTCTCTACAACTTTAATGTTTGACCCGTCCATGCTTTTTAGCTTCATAACATTGTAACTAGGGGAAACTGAGGGCAAGGGATGTGTCCAAAGTCACCCGGTGGCAAAGATGAGAAGATTCTTATTTCCAGCACACTCCCTGGGACAGCTTCACTTCCTGTCTCGAGGGTGGGATTGCCTGGGCAGGGCCAAATCAGGAGTCCTGCCTAGGGCAGGAGGAGCTGGGGAGTGGGTCTGCCCCATCCATTAGGTGGGTTCCTTTCCCAGCAACGGCTCTGCTAACTGGTGCCAGAATCTGAGTGCATCTGATTCTGTGATTCACCCTTTTGTTGGAGATTTCCCCTATAATCATCACCCCTGTTCTCCGTGCCCTGACCCTCTATAACCAGGACAATCAGGGTGCTTCAAAGTGTTTCAGGGACACGCACACAGACCTGTAATCATGGACATGTAAGGAACCGATGGAGGCTGGGGGACGTTTCTCGGCACCAAGGATCTGTAGGTAGGCAACATGCTCGCACAGACAAGAGGACAGACGGAGACCCAGACCCATCACACGTGCCCACACACAACCAGCATATCATTACAAGAAAGGATGGAGGGGGCTTTGCGGCCCAGGGACTGGCTCAGAAAACTCTCTGTCCAGTCCCTGCAGCCTCGCCAGGGGGACCCCAGAAAACAAGCCCTGACACGAGCAACAACCACGTTCCAGTTTCCCGCCCTGGTGGTTTGCCCTTGTCAGGGAGAGAGAAAGGGGGAAACAGATTTGGAAGAGCCACTGTGGATTATAAAGGCATCGCACTGCAGCGGGAAGACTCAAGGAGAAAACCCAAGAGAAACCACTGAGGGGCGGGAACCCAGGAGGGGAAAACCAGGACACGGCGGCGATGGGAGGAGAAGGGTGGTGGGGCCACGTGGGGGCCCGCAGGAAGGGTCAGCAGTGTCCACGCTTACAAAACCGCAGCCGCCCCCACCGGAGGGCAAGCGCGTACGATGTCCCCCCCGCCATCCGCCTGGGTAAGAGGATCCAGTTAGGAACTGAAAACCCTGTGGGGAGACAGTGGGGAGGGAGTTAGTGCCGCGGAAGCAGGGCTGCTCTGTTCCATAATTTAAGAGGCCTGGGGAAGCCACTAGGCTCTGTGTGGGGGGGTTTTGTCTTCCCTTCCCATTTGCTATGTATCGCCAGCATCTCGGAGAGGACCTGGCACCTTGCTGGGGCTCATCGGGAATGAATGAATGAACTAATGAATGAATGAATGGATGGATGCCTGCTCACCAACACAACTGGACACAAAGAGGATATTTCAAGGGGCTTTCTGACAACCAAGGGAGGCGTGGTCTTTCAAAGGCCATTGCATGAGCCTACTGGACACAAAGGTGTTTTTGAGACTGTGGTGTGCTTTGCAATGGGGAAGAAATGAGGATTCTTCAGAAGTGGAGTGTGTGCCCTGTGGTACCCAAAAGGAGACAGGTGAATTCCTACCTAGTTTAATGTAAAGGGCACACGTGGTGGCAGGAATGGGGGGTGTGATGTTACGTGTTGATGCATCACGGCATTAAGGTAAGGTTTGAGTAGTAAGACGCGATTCCAGTTTTGTGGTGCTTCAGACAGTTTCCAGCAATTAGCAGAGGATGAATGAAATTGTCATAATAAAACCAACTGGAATTTGCATTGCGGAGAATGCTGCCAGCAGTTTGGGGGGATGAGGGAAGTGAGGTAAAGGCTGGGTAGGAATACAACTTCCCAGAGGCGAGAGCCATCCTTCCATAGGGGGCACCCCAGGCGGAAGCCTACAAAGCCTTGCTCCCACCCTGGAGGGGGCCTCAGAGCCCCCGGGAGGGCACGTTAAGTGCACAGCCCTGTGCTCTAAGCCAGGTTCAGATTCAGCAGGTCTGGGATGGCCTAGGAACCTGAATTTCTAACACATGTCCGGGTGTGTCTGGTGTGGGGCCCCAACTATGGGAAAGTCAGTGCAGACAGACATCCCTGTCCCTTGGAACCAGGGAGGGGGCTCTGTTCACCCCTCACCCGTGGACTGGAGCCAGCTTACTCATCAGTGGCTTTTTTGCTGTCCTCGATGAAGGCAATGGATTCAGATCTAAGGCGGTTGGTCACTTCGTATGTTCGCAGGGTGACCCCGAAAATATCCTCATGGTATCGGTTGTCATCCTAGGGGACAGAAACAGTGTCTTTGAGGATGAAACAAGGAGAAGAGGCACCTTCTGGCTCAGGAGGGGCAGTGATGGGGAAAAGGCATGTTCATCAAGCATGACAAGGCACAAGGATGCACAGAGTTGTTCCGGCATCCTTAAGTCCCAGAGGTTTTGAGAGAGTTGTCCATCTGTAGAGTGGGTTCATTTTTAGTTGGGATGGTTTTTTCAACCTTATTTTACAAAGTCTAGGGAATCTGTGAAAGCATCTCCTGAGACTCCTACCAAAGAGACTGAGGGATGGGGGGCTCTGCAACTCTCCTTGGATTTCTGACATTTCTACCAGAAAGTTCTTTTCTGTTTTTGATTTTGTTTTACCTACTAGGGTTTAGCATCAGATTTAAGGGCAAGGGCTTCTGCAAAAATGTTTGGACTGCTCATTCAGGGAAGCAGGGAGAAGGATAGGATCAGCCCTTGTGGAGCCCTTGACTCAGTTTTTTCTATTTGGGGCAGTTGGTTACAAAGTTGGGGCTTTGCTTGCTAGTTTGGGGCTGCTGCTACCCTTTGTGCAAATTAGGGAAAGGTACCCCTCTTTCTGGGGTGGACATAGCTCCATGCCAAGGTGCACAGCTTGGAGAGTCAGCACAAGGTGGCTTTCAGCTTCCACTTGCCCCATTGACAGACATTTTTGTACAGTGCCCAATTGGCACAACTGTACAGGGCAATGTTACCTCATGGTTCTGGGGGCAGGAAAAGTTAGTTTAGAATGGTTACTGTCTAGCTACCCAGTGGTCCACCCACATGTTATTTTCACAGAACACAGTCCCCAACCATATTTAGCACATCCACCTGAATGCCCAGTATCCTTCCTTTTCTCTTGGCCATGGTTTGGAACCACCCGTATCCTCTATTTCCAGCCATAAATGGAAAATGGGAGCAGGGATGTCATCACAGCTCCCCTAATCATTGAAACACATGGAGGTGGGGAAATTAAATGTGGGAAAAAGATTCAAGAAGGCAGCCATCACTCACCCTCAGCCTGCTGATGAACACGCCAGCATCCTCCACCGAGAGCTTCCCCTGCTGGGTCATGATGCGCTGGATGGCTTTGAGGACATCGGCAGCCATGGTGACGTCTCCGCAGACGTAAATGTGGCCCCCTTGCTCCTTCAGGGCTCGGTACACGGGTTCTGCCAGCTGCTCTTGCAGGATGTCCTGCACATACTTCTGCAAGGGGCAGGGAGGCCAGTGAGAAGGAGCCAGGAGCTGTGTGGCTCCCTGCTACCAGGGAGCAGAGCCTGAGTGGAGGATTCTGGGCAGGTTGCATATTTTGTGAGGTGACCCCCGGACACTGGGAAGAGGGAAAGCCAACCCCAGAGTGTGTGAATGAGCTGTTCCCCACTTTGGTGCTCATTTCTGCTGAGGATCCTCTAGGGAGTCACACAGGACATACCCTAGAACCATCCTCTGGAGGGGCAGAAGAGGGGGGCATTATCTACCTGCTCCTGTCTCCCACAGCTGTGGTTACCCACAGGGAGTTACAGCCATATGCCTGTAGGCATGAGGTTGGTTACTGTAGGCATCCCACACTGGGGTGCTAGAGAAGCCCCAGGGCACATGGCAGGAGATGGCGCAAGGTGACGGGCTGTCAGTTACACTGTGCCAAGCCAGCTGCTGTAGCAACAGCTGGAGTAACAGGTGGGCTAAGAGAATGTGGGGTGGACAAGGGGAAGTCCAGTACAGCCCCCGGGGACTTTGTCTTCTTTGACCCGGACGTCCGCACCTTGTCCAGCAACCCCCCCAGGCAAGGCTGACACTCAGCTCATACATCCTGGTGTGGCTGTACCAGGGGTTAAAACTCTGCTGTTCTTCCATACCAGTGGTCAAGTAGCCACCGCCTAGATCCTCTGTGTGCCCCCCACCCATCTGTTCTTGCCCCTTTTCTGGGACCCCCTGGCCCTGCCCAAGATCCAGTAGGAATGCACTCCTCCAGTCCTGTGGGCTGTGTCCATTCTGACTGGTAGTACCCATTATGGACTGTTAAAATATTTTTAAAATTCCTACTTTAAAACATTTCTATTGTGGTAAAATACACATGACAAAATTTACCATTTAACCATTTTAAGATGCACAATTCAGAGGCATTTGGCACATTCACAATGTTGTGCAACCATACCACCATCTTGGTCCAGAAAGTTTTCATCATCCCTAAGGAAACACCATCCCCACGAGGAGTCACTTTCTATTCCCCCTCTCCTAGCCCCCGGTGCCCACCAATGTCTCTGTGGATTTGGCAGTTCTGGACATTTCACACAAGTGCAATCATGTAATATGGGCTGTTAAATATTTTAAATTGGTATCTTTACTCCCCGTTCTTCCCAAAGTACAGAGCAATGTCGTGGAGGGGGATTCAGAAAGTTAAGGTGAATTTCTGGGAACAGGATGTGCACGTGTGTACAAGCGTGTGTACATGCTGGGCTCGGGTGGAGGGACCGGGAACAGCTGGGGGTTACCTTTGGTCTGTCTGGCTCCCGGGAGTAGGCCGTGTACAGCTCTCTGAAGACCCCTTTGTTCTTGGCCTGTAGGGTCTCCTCCCTGTAGATGTGGTCTATCTTGGACTGCCGGCACCCGAAGACCAGGATCATGGGGCAGGGGCTCATTCCTGGGGACCAGGAAGATCTCATGTCACTGACAGCTCTGATGTCTGATTTGGGGGTGGCAGCTGGTGGTGCCAGGGCTGGGGTGCTGGGCATCTTGGTGTGTGCCATGAGGACAGAGGCACTGGGGCAGGTGGGTATACGCACACATGTGCACGTCCACCAAGAGAAGTATGTAAAGTGTGTTCAGACTTCGGCAGACGTCCCCTCTCTCTGTCTCCATCTTTCCTTCTTCCCCTTGGCTACTTGGCAGCCCCCATTGCTGGGGAGTGCTCAAAGCCCAGGCTTTGGAGCCCCACTAACTGGGTTCAATTCCCCCCTCTGTGTGATGGGCAACCTACTTGGCTTTCTATGTCTCCGTTACCCCATGTGCAAAATGGAAGTAATAATAGCATCTATTTCATAGGGTTATTGTGAGAAAAGAATGTAGAACATTATATGACTGTGCCTGGTACACTGTGAATACCCTATCAATGTTAGCGATTTCATTAGAATGACAGTTCCATGGGGCAGCGTTCTGTTTTTTTAAGTTGTTTCTCTGTCTTGTTCATTGTGATGCCTCCAGGGTCTACAATAGTGTTTGGTATTTATTAGATGCCCAATAAATCCCTATTTAACGCATGCCACAACTGCAGCTTTCTTCCACACTCTTCTACCAGCTGATCTGTTGTGTCTCTCATACAGCAAAGCCTGCTCTTGAATAAACAGCCTTTGGAACAATCCCATAAACACACATCCATGTGATAAGGCTTGAGTTTATCCTTTCTAGGGCTGTTTGAATTTAAGACAGGTCTTATCTTGACAGTCAGAGAAATGTCTTCTGGGGATGGGATTTCAAGCTGTGTGGAAGATGTGTTTGGACAGGTCCCTTGAGTTGCACCATCAGCCTCACTTGTGGGTCGGGTCAGCATATGCTCCCCCTGCCTCCCCTCAGGCAGGGATGCAGTGCAAGGACAGCCATCATTCCTCTGGGCTGCTGTGGCCCAGGCACTCCTTCGTAGGCCCCGCGGGTGGAAGGCAGGTACCCCCTGCACTGTGACCCACCTTTGTGCTGGATATCAAATTGCCGCTGCTGCCAGAAGCTTCGGAAAGGGGCAATGCCGGTGCCCGGGCCAACCAGGATGCAGGGTACTTGGGGATTTCGGGGCAGGTGGAAGCTGGGTGCTCTAGACAAGGAAGAGAGAATCAAAAGGCTCACTGAACTCACAGCTGAGCGAGCGTGCTTGGGTCTCAGGTAGACCAGGTGGCTGTCTGGGTGAACATACAGTGGGACTCGCAGAATTTCAGCCAGGCCAGCTGCCCCTTATGAGGGGCGGTCCCACAGATGTGGGGAACTCCAAAAACTCCAAAAAGGTGGTCCCAGGTTCTGGCTATCACCCCACTTCCCAATTGTCCTCATTGCTGAGTTAAGCCACAAAGGGCGGTGGGGTTTACTTAACTCAGGGTTTCCCTGTGTTGCCACCCCAGACATTCAGGGCTGCACACTTCCCTGTGGTGGGGGCTGTCCTGGGCACTGGAGGAATATTCAGCAGCACCCCTTGCCTCTATCTACTGGATGCCAAGCGCCCTCCAGCTGTGACAAATAAAAATGTCTCCAGACATTGCCAAATGTTTCCTGGTGGGCGAAACTGCAGATAAGAACCACTGAGTCAGCCACCCAGGAGATCTCCAAAAATCAGGGCGTCCAGATGTTAGTGTATCAAGGAATCATCTGTGGATGTTAAAAATGCAGGTTCCTGGGCAATGCAGTAAGTCTGGGCTCAGGACTCTAGTTCTGAAGCAACTCAGGAGATTATGATGCTTATGGCATAGGGACCACCTATGAACATTCTGCCCTCCACAGCTGAGAAAAATGGACAGCCAACGCCACCATTCAGGCAGGGAAGTTACAGGTTGACAAAGCAGAGGACCCATCCTCGGGCATGTCCTTTATTTTTTAATTTTAAAAAAAGTTATATTTTTATTTGAATGAGTGTGGTAGAAACGCTTCACGTGAAATCTACTCTTTAAACACATTTTTAAGTGCAAGATACAGTAGTCTAACTATAGGCAGAGATATCTTTTAATACTGGGTTTCAGAGAAGAGCTCTGAGTGCTGGGGAGAGGGTTGGATCTTTCCCGTCCCTAGCACACTGGGGAAGAGATGGGGAAGCCAGCAGACTTTGGATAGAATTTCCCCTTGTCTGCAGATTCCATGAAGGCTGAGACTGCGTTTGCCCGGTTGCCTACTGAAGCCCTGGCATGTAGCACAGTACATGCACCTTGTAAGTATCTGTTGCATTGATCCAACTTTGACTAGAGGACTTGCTGAGCTTTGGCTGTGTTGCTGTGTCCCACGATCCCATTTCCTTAACAACAAGCATGATTTTGATACCATTTGACTCAGCCACATCTCCCGAACCCTCCAGGTCCACCCACCCCAGCAAAGGACATTAATATGCAGGTTTGGGGTGGCTGCTCATTTCTCTTTGTCACTCACCCTCTCACAAAGCAGGGGACCACTTCATCTGCCTGTATCCGGTTGAGCCAGGAGGAGCACACGCCGTGGTGAATTGGTCCTTCTCCGTCTGGCAGAATAACCAAGGTGGTCTGGCTCACCTACTGCCCCCAAGCTTCCCTGGCACTGGCTTCCCCCTGCCCCCCAGAGCAGAAGACTCAGAGTCCCAGGGCCACGTTCCTGCCTTGGAATTCCTCATCTGGACCCTTCCTATGAAGGGGAAGCAGAAATGATGTAGCTGGGGTTCCCCTGGGTGGGTTAGGTCAGATTCACATCCTGTCCCCCGAGAAGGCCTTGGCCAATGTATTTTCGGTGGCCTGCTGGGTGGGACCCTGGTCTCAGAGCTCTCTCAGGCACTGTACATTTTAATTGCTTTGGCAAGAAGGGAAAATAAGGGAACAGAGGTTTGCTGTCTGAAGGACCTACAACCAGCTGGACAGCATGCAGAAGAGAGATCCCCCATGAGCAGGAATGGGTGGTGGTGGCTTGTTTTAGCTGCCACCTTGGGGCTGGGAGGGGATGAATGGAGTGAAGGGGTCTCAGGTTTTGGGAGTAGAGAAAGCTTGCAAATGTGCATCTCCACATTCCCCTTCTTCCTAATTCTGCACAGGGCTGGCTCTGCCTGCGGGGACAGTTTGCCTGTATTGCCTCCTCCCTCAGCCTCCTGGCCTTGAAGCAGGTCTCCCAGGGTTGGGGATTTGGCAGACCCGCAGAGGCCCATGGGGAACACACAGACCTCGAGGCCCTCCCTGCGCCTCTGCCCACCTCGGGTGTGGTAGGAGACGATGGCCACGGTGAGGTGCACCTCATCGGGGTACATGTCTGGGGAGGAGCTGATGGAATAGTAGCGAGGCTGCAGCAGTGACAGCTGGGTCAGGAGCAGGGTGGTGGGCATCTGGATGGATGGGAACTCTTCCAGAGCCTCCACAATGGTGGGGTTCTTGCCCCATTTCCATTCCTCGTACTCCTGCAGACCCTGTGCCAGGAAGAGGGACAGAGAACTTGCACCACTTCCTGTGACAGAGACCTAATGGACTGTGAACCTAAAATACTTATTACCTGGCCCTTTATGGAAAAAGTTTGCTGAGCCCTGCTCTAGGCAGTCTGGCCCCAGAATCTGGGCTCCTTACCAATACACACCCCTGCTATATGTGAAGGTCAAGAGAGATGTACTGGAGAGGGACTCAGGACTTGCAGGTACAGACCACAGACCTGCTATTTGTGGGCTTGCAAAGTTGGAGATGCATCTGTGGAGAGTATAGGTCAAGTTCAAGATAGTGAATGACAGCGCTGCAGGAACAGGTTGGGGTGTGGAAGACCATGTTTGGGGCATGTTGACAGCGATGCCCAGCTGTTACCAGGGAAAAGAGGAACCCAAACTCTCTGGGCCTCTGGAGTTATTGTTCCTACATCCCAGAAGCTTCCCTGGACTGTCTCATATTGCTTATAGAAGGTTCAGATTTTGAGCAAGGGTAAAACCTATCGTAAGTGCATTGGACAACGAAGCTTGTCCCCATGTTCCTGAAGACCATCCTTGCTTTATTTATAGGGTACCCTTGAGGACCTGCCTCCCAGACTTTCAGCCACAGGGGCCAAAATTAGCCAAGCGTCCCAGGAGCTGCTGCCTGAAACTGACATGTACCTGAAATGGACATGGCTCACTTTTGCTGGTCTTTACTCGGATGCCACCTACAGTTCCGCGAGCTTCCATTGAACTTTCCTTCCCTCTCCTTCACTAGGGGTCAGATTTGTTTTGAGGTATGATGGTTCCCTCAGCCTTACCTTTTCCATTTTCTCTCACACAGGTGTTTCCTCTAATAAAAATCCTCGCTCATTTAATTCCATCCTGGAGTTTGGGTTCTTCAGAAGAAACAGACTAATATGTACAGTTGTATCAAATTCTACTTTAAATAATCCTGTGCAAATAGTGCACTCTCTGGTTCCTCTTCATATTAGCCTCCCCCTGATTAATTTAGAATTTTAAATCCAAGTTATACAGATACAAAGTTTAGAAAGGTAAACTTTAAAAATGCAAAAACCACACAGCTCATGATGAGAAACAGCGCTCTCCCAACCCACTTCTCCAGTCCGTTTCCAACTCCCCAGAGGCAGCCACTTACAACTCTCTAAGCTTTTCTTCTGGTGTTCAACATGCCCTCCTTGAATTGTCCTCTCCCTTACTGCCCACCTTTCAATCTCCTCTCCCTTTACTGGTGGCTTACTCTCTGGGGGGCATCCTGAAGCCGGGGTGGTGCTCCTGGGCAGCTTTCTTACTTGCAAGGCTTTGAAGCAGCTTGGGGGCAGGGCAGGCAAGGGTGGTGGAAGCTATGTTTGGTCGGATCACTCTACCATCAGCCTAACTTCAGCCTCTCTGCAATGGAAAAGGCTTATCTCTAAAACAGGGCACCCTGGGATTCTCTTGGTTTCTTTTCCTTCCAAGTATGGGCTAAGATGGCACGAATGGAGGCTCAAGAGTTCCAGAGGAAGGGGGAACAAGAGTCAGAACAGCAATTTCTACTGCACCAGAGAACTCTGAGATTCAATGGGTCACTTTCGTTCTGTGAGACCTTCACTAGAATGAGGCGAGATGGCCAAGACAAGCCAAAATGGACTAGCCAATATGGTGACCATTTGCAACCTGGGAAACTGGACACTCTCGCTCAAGAGTGCCATCTGCTGGAACACTGTTGTAACAGCTGTAGAGCTCTCCAAGGACTAGGAGGTGAAGTGCGGGAAGGGGGTGGGGGTGGGACTCAGGGATTTGAGAGGATAGACACCTTGCTGAGGACCAGCAGCCGTTGCTTCTCCTTCTCACTGGTGGCCAGGGAGGCAAACTGCTGCAGCTGCAGCGGCGTTGGCGGCGTGGTGATGTCCAGGTAGTACTTGAAGGCCTGGAAGATGGTGCAGGGCGGGAGGCGGTGTTCCTCCGTCCAGTTGCTGATAACTCCTGTGGAGGCACAATGTGGGTGGCGGGTGGGTGGGGGGGAGAGAGTCGGAGCTCCCAGGGCTTGGGTCCAAGTCAGGGAGGCCACACCTGCCTCTGGGGCAGAGGATGGGGCCAGGGGAGCTGGAGTGACCCAGAGTCAGACAACCCCTCGGCTTCCCACCTTCAATATCCCACGTCTATATCCAGGGTCAGGGACCGTGCATGCCTGAGGACCACCTCGTGCACAATGGCATATCTGAAATCAATTGAGTAAACTCGTCCAAAATACTTAAAAATAAACAAACATTAAAACAGCCAGAGACAGTCCCCCTGGCATTCTATGCAGTGGGCCCTCAGCTGAGCTCAAGCTGAGTCTATTTTGGCTCTGTCTGTTCTCTCATGGCGTCAGCCTCTCTCACTCCTCTAAGTGGGATTCTAATGTTTAAAATTACAAACACGCCCAACACTTACCTAGTACCTTCTGTATGCCATGTACTATTCTCAGCACTTTGTATCATTAACTCATTTAATCCTCACAACAGTCCTAGGTGGTGGGTGCTATTATTATCCCCATTCGGCAATTGAGAAAAATGGAAGCACAGAGAGGCTAAGGAATTTGCCCAAGATCACACAGCTCATAAGCATGAAGTCAGGCAGTATTGCCCCAGACCTTGTTCTAGCTACTATACTGTACTGCCTCTGTGTGCTTTTCATCCAATATAGTCCCTAGGCACAGACCTCTACTTCATCAGGGGCCCAACCTAAGATAAAAAGCACAAATCCAATACAGAGGAAGAATTGGCTGGGTTGGATTTATTAAGAGAAGGTATGTCTTTCCAAACGGATGCCTTCCTAAGGAATTTTCACTTGGACTTGACTGTGTACTATTTCCCATCCTGCCTTGACTTTACACCCTAGCTCCTTTGTAAAGGTGATAGGTCATAGGTCACTGTATCATGAGATGCCACGTAAGGTCACTGCAATTCCTTGTACCTGAACCCTGAGCTCATTTGAGCCTATTTGAGATGAAGCACTGAGACCCATTTGCCTTTGAGAGTTTTTCACCAGGAAATGCCAAGAATGGTCAGTGAAACAGGATGGAAGTTGAGCTAATGAGGTCAGAGGTGAGCTTGAATCCCTAGTGGAACTCCAGATAGCGCCCTTGATCCCAAGAGGGAGAGGCAGACTGCAGCTGCCATTAGTTGGTGGGCAGTGAGGCCATGTGAGGAAGGTGGTGAAGAGTGGGCACTGCTAACAGCAGGTTCTGGCCGAGGAAGGATGGTAGAAGCCCCTGCCCCTAAGGATGAGCCACCCACATCCTGGCCTCATGGACATGAGCTCTGCTAATGGGGTGGGGTCAAGGCTGTTGAGCATGAGGAAGGGCGAGTCTTCAGTCTCATTAGCTGGAGGTGGCAGACACCCACTCTCCTTCCTGGGTCAGCATGTGGGGCAAAGCATGGGAGTCCTCCTCCCCAGACCCCCGCCTCAGCACTCCCTGGGGAAGGCAAGGGCCCTTGGGAGTGGCCAGGACGGGTGCCCGTGGTTACCCAAAGCTGTGTTCCGCTCCTCCAGCAGCTCCACCTTTACCAGCTGGTTGACAGGCGGTGCATCCTCCAGCCGCTCGATCAGGGCATTCACGAGGTCCTCGTGGTTGCCGGGGAACACGCCCAGGTGGTCCCCAGGCAGGTACTGCAGCTCCTGGTAACCGTTGGTGTGGAGACGCACGAAGATGGTTGATCGGCTGGACAGAAGGATGGGAACAACTGGTCAAGGGCCGCCAGCCACTGCCCCCTTTCTTTGCTCCTTTGTCCTTGTGGCTGCAAGTCCCCAACTTCCATCCTCCTTGGGGCCCATGCCAGTCACACCGTGTCACGGCTTTCAGCAAGGTCGCCTGCAAGCTCCTCGCTGCAAATCCAGTGCTCACCTTAGTCACTGAGGCAGCGTGGGACACGGCTGCCCCCTTCTCTTGGACTCCAGCCCCCTGGGCTCCCCTCATCTCTCTGGCCACTCTTGCTCCGCTCCTCTGTGGGTCCCTTTTCATTTCCCCCCACTCTGGACACTGGAGCGCCCCAGAGCTCAGTCCTCCTATCTCTTTGCTTTTCTGTCTTCTTGCCCAGACGTCGCTTTTCTCCAGAGCACTTATCATCACCTGATCTGCAGTTTACTTCCTCATGTGGTTTGTGGTCTGTGTCTGGCCGTCGTCTCCCCACCAACAACCCCCACCCCCAGAGGGCAGGGATTTGTCTGTTTTGTCCACTGTTCTATTCCTGGAAAGTAGAAAGGTGCACGGCGCATAGTAGGTGCTCACAAAATATTGATTGAATGAAGGACTCAGACTCCCAGGGTTATACAGCTGCTGCAATGGTCTCTGCTCTCAGAACCCACTGGGGTTGTCTTAGCAACCAGTCCCCATCAGCACCCTGGCAGTGGTGTCCCCAGTCTGTGAAATTCCATCTCTCCCAGACATCCCAAGGTATATCCCCATTTAGCAAGTGGGGCTCCTCAGATTGTCACAGAAAAGGGGAACAGGTTCTTGTTATATACAAATACACCAAAATTATGCAGGTACGAGATCTAAGGCGCAAACCCAGAGCAATACTCATTTATACCTGCGGAGTCACACCCTTTCATATTGAGTTTTGTATTTCAAGTTCAGGAGGCTTCTGCTAAGGAAATGGCTTTAAGAATGAATTCTCAAACTATGATCGTTCCGATCCTTTTTAAAGTTGTAGTACAGATATACTGCATTTCACACAGTACTTGCAGACATGGGAATTATCACACTTTGGTAAATCAAATCATTGCACTCCTCAAGTTACGTGTGCATTTCAGACCTGCGTTTTCTTTGGTGCCAACTGGTTTTCAGTTGGTAGTGACACTGGCTATTCAGCATGAAGTTTCTACATCCTCCATGGAATGTAAATAAGCACTTGAATAAACCAATGGGACTTGCTATTTAAAGGAGGTTTTGGCATAACCAAGAGCCCTTTTGTGCTGCAAATAGCCACCATTATTAAAATAGTTGGGCTGGCACAGTCACTTTTTTGAGTGTCAAGTGTTTTCTTGAAGTAAGGTACCCTTGTTCTCAGCATGGTGGGTAACATGTAACTGAAATTATGAATGGTGGGGTGAGAGTCTGGGATCCTGCTCTCTTTCCCCAGGCAGATTTTGCCCTCTCTGGGGCACTGACCTTGTTAATATGGATTTGCACGACTGATTCTGCTCTGAGCTCATACCAATCTTTGGGTTCCAGAAAAGCAAAGACTTCATCACCGGCTGCTAGCTCGAGAGAATTAGCAGAGGCCGACCGCCAGCAGGGGGCACTGTGGGGTTGCTAATTTGGAGCCTCCTGAACCAACCACAGGAAGCCTTTGAACGGCCAGCCAATCAATTCCCACTTTCTTCCAGATCCTCACGATTTCTTTCTGAAGTATATTTACCTCCGTTCTTTTGGCTGGTACAGAACAGAAATGCGGAGGGGCCCTGAACTTGCGGAGCTGGCTCATGCTGACACCACGTCTTCAAGTCCTCTTGAACGTGACAGAAGGTGGTGAGGCAGATGAGGGGCGAGAAGGGAGACGTACCTGGCAGGTTAGCTAGGTGGGCCCAGACTCTGCTGGGAATTTAACCAAGAGGCCTTGCCAAGCCGCTGAGCAGACATGGCTATCTGAGAACCCCAGCACTGAATGGCTGCGGCCCCAGGACCCTTTGGGCAGCTGGTCCTTGAAGCTTTGCAGGGAAGCAGATCCCCCCTGGGAAGCACTAGTCTGGAGACCAGTTGCCTTTAATCTCTGTTTTGCTGGGGGTTTCATTTTCTAAACTTTTTTTTTTTTCCCTTAAAGCTTGAGACACATACGGGTCATTGAGAAATATTAAGGAGGGAGAAGGGGCAGTATTGAATAGGTAGTAGCCATCTGGGCCCTCTCTACACCATCCCCTCGAGTATCCCCATTTGTAATATATTTTTATCTACATCCAGAAGCACATACGCACACACCACAAACGCCCGCGTGTGCCTGGCAGCAGTTCAACAGGTTCACAGATGACAGAACAGTCGGCTAATGTTCACCATAAAGTGGGAAAAAAAAATAGCTAATGTTCATTCTTCAATGAAGAGAGTAAACATTGTTCATTGTGAGCAGTTTGAGTTAGTAAGGATCATTCATTCAACAAATATATATTGAGTGTCAGGCACTGTTCTAGCCACTGGTGAGTGAGTGATGGATAAGGACAGCAAAAGTATCCTGTTCTCATTGAGAAGTAACTTAAAAAGATCTCCGATAGAGATTAGTAATGGGTTGGGGGCAGTGGGCTCAGTGATCATCAGATAGGATGGTCAGGGAGGGCTCTCTGGTGATTTGACATTTGCACAAAGACCTGAGCAATGTGAAGGAACAAACGTGAAGATGTAGAGGACACGTGTTCCTCTAATCTGAAGCAGCATGTGTAAAGGCCCTGAGGTCAGAAAAGGTGTGACATGTTTGAGGAAGGGAAAGAAAGCTGGAGTGTTTGGAGAGTGGTCAGCACGGGGGTGGGGGAGTGGGAAAAGGAGATCAGAGAGCTAGGCAGAGGCTGATCATGAGGGCCTCATCGTGACCTGTCACGGCAAGGAGTTTGGAGGTTTCCACACTCTAGTGGGGAGCCAATGGAGGTATGAAGCTTCAATTTAAAAAGACACATTGACTGCTGTTTGGAAAATAGATCTTTGAGAGAAAAGCCAAGGAAGAAGAAGACAAGTTTGGTGGGCGCTGCAGCCAGTCATACCAGAGAAGATCATGGCTTTGCTCAAAGCAGCAGGTGTAGATCTGAGATGCTGCTGAAAGGCAAGGCCCACGGCAGCAGCTGTGAGCGGCGTGTGCAGTGTGAAGGAGGGAGGGGAGACAAGGAGGACAGCTGTTTCTGGCTTCAGCTGACACTGATGTCCTCTGTGGAGACGGGGAGGGCTGGTGAGAAAATAAATTCATCCGAGGGAAGTGGAGAATCAAGAGCCCTCCGATGCAATGTCATCTCTCAAGATCCCCCGGGGCTCAGGCCCATGTGCACCTTTGCTCCCACCATTCTCTCTTCCTAGATGTCTCCCCTCTATTCCCATCTGCCTTTCTAACGCCTCCCCTGCATTTTCCTTCCTCCTTCTGACTTCTAGGACTTATGACCCACATCCCACCCATTAGCGGCTCCATTATATTTTCCTCTGTACTGTTTGCTAATTGGTGCATGCAGAAAATGTATTTCCTGGCCTGGCAGCAACCTGTGGTCACTTTTCTCTTTCGATTTGCAAGGATCACCCTCAAAAGGCTGTTTACTTCTTAAGCACTTAGCTTGCAATTAATGGTCTCTGCAGGGATCATTTGTGATATCTTGCTTATGGCCTCTCAGGCCAAACAGCCTGACTTTGGCCTTGAGTGGGGGAAAATGGGACCGAGTGTCATGTTTTTTTGCTCAATTACCTTTTTAAAAAAATAAACCTTATAAAGTTGGAAATGGTAGTAAGCCCAAAAATAGGTAGTGTGTGAAGGAGGCTTTTAAAGGGATAAATACCAGGTAGTCTGACCTTTTTTGTGCTAGTCCACAACTAATTCTAATACCATGTTTCAGTTGGTAATCTTGTTGGAATATTTTCTTATAAGTCACTCAGTGGGGTCAGGTGCCCTTTCTGGAGGTGGGTGGGTGGTTATTCTGGGTCTTGGTCCAACCCAGCACCAAAATGGCCTTGCTTTTTATGTACTATGGCTTAGAGAATAATTTTGGGGATCTGATCTTCACTATAGATTGTACTCCCTTCTATTATTATTGTACTCCCTCTCATATTATACACTAAGTCGTAACTTTGTACAGGACAGATAATATGAATGTATTATACATAGTAATATACATTGAGCACATACACTTAAGTCCTAACTTTGTACAGGACAGAAATGGGAAGTAGGATGGATATTTCAAATATAGAATCCTTCTCTGTATCAGAGATTGTTATACTCTGAATATTGCATTGAACTAATTACCCAAAAGGATTAATTTCCCAATCCATTTCTTTGATGTTTGAGGAGACAGCATGGGAGGCCTGGGGCTCCATCCTGTTGATCGCTTTTTCAAAAGTCTGAAGCCCGAAGAAAGCATGGATACTAAATTTGCAGAAAGGATGGAGCCCGAAGAAAGCATGGATACTAAATTTGCAGGTGAATGAAGCTGGGATGGATAAGGAATTATAGTAACAGGAGTGTATGATACACTAGTTGCTCTGTGTACGTGCTCTTTAATACTCACAGCAGCCTGGCAAAGCTAGAATTATAGTAACAGGAGTGTATGATACACTAGTTGCTCTGTGTACGTGCTCTTTAATACTCACAGCAGCCTGGCAAAGCTATTGAGGCCATTTGTGTAGCCATTTTGGCACACTGACTTTGGAGTTAGAGAACCGGGTCTGTGTGACCTTAAGAAGCCACTTGGATTTTCTAATGGTCATTTCTTACATTTAAAATGTAGATGATAATGGTCCCTAAATGGCTAGTCAGAATTCTAGGAGAGCCAGCACAGAGAGGACTCAAAGTGGTACTGAGAACAAGAAAGTGCTAGATTAATGTCAGCAATCTTTAGAGCCACCATTCTTATTTTATAGGTAAGGAGATGGGGGCTCAGAGGACTGTGGTGGCTTGCCCAAGGTCACACAGCTGGTGTGTGGCAGAACTGGGGCCCAAACCCAGGGCTGTGTGGCTTGCAAGCCCCCTCTTTGTACTATGCCAGACAAAAATCAAGCCTTCAAAAGATCTTCAAAATTCAGCGAACTGCAAAGTGAAAAAGATTCCATTTAACAGGGGTCAACGTAAAGGACTTCATTGGTGCCAAAAATATTACTTATACAAGCAGAGGGATGGACAGATCTGGCTTGATCATTTTGAAAAGACTTGATGTCTAAGAGCAGCAAGGATGTAAGCTTAAGGGAGAGCAGCATGGCTGTGAGGACAACGCCTGCAATCTCGGGCAGCATCAATGGGTCCTGTTGAGATCGGGGATGGTAATAATAACCTCAGTGCACATGGCAGTTTGGCAAGAGTGTGGTCTGTATGAAACGTTCTTTGTAAAACCTGTCACTTTCCTCTTTCCGCAATGATTATCCTCATCTCCCTTTTCTGTCTTTCCAGTTTGGAGTTTTGTAAAGGGAAAGCAGGAAAACGTAGATCCTATAAAGTGGCCGGTGGGGGGGCAGGTGGTGGGTCTCAATGGCACTTGGAATAGTCAGAGGAAGCCGGTCCTTGGAGTTTTCAAGAGTCCCTCCCTCATTATGGATGGCATCTGGAGCAGGGGGGGGACCTGGGGTGAAACAACATGTTCCTACCTGGATTTAGGACTCTGAAGGTTTTGACGGCTGAGGAGTCGAGCGGCTGAGACCCGCTTTTTGTGGACATGGGATAGACCTGTAGAGGAGAAAGACCAGTTTTCCAGAGAAGACTTCCAGTTCTCAATAAAACCTCCCTGGCTTCTGTTGATACTTCCTCTGACACACTTCCACCATCTTCTGGAGTGAAATGAAGAAATACAAGGGGTCTGGTAGGCATTGCATGGGCTGGTCCATGGTTGTGGGTAACGCAGAGCAAAGAGCACATCTGTGTGAACTGAGCTGAGAAAAGGAGGTTCAGGGTCACACACCACAGTGCCGCAGGAACCTCCGAGCACGTGTGTTACTGAGCGCGGGGCAGCAGCAGTGTGTTCATTTTAGAGACCGAAGTAGTTAAACCCACCTTCTCTAAATGCCTTTCAGAGGTGAGAGCACCTGTCTTTTCCCCGCTGTCATGAATGCCTCCCCAGGAGGATGGCAAGAGGTACCTTGTGCAAGCTCTGGAGCTTCGGCCACATAGGTGAGGCGGAACTTGTTCCTCTTCCAGCTGCGGTCATTGCTGATGAGGGAGTTGTTTGCCTTCTCAATGTTGACGTCATCTCCCACGCAGAACACATCACAGGCTGCCTGTGGCACACACACAGCTTTCAGCGACCTCTTTCACCCGAGAGGGACTCCTCTCCGATAGCTCCAAGTCATGGCATTGGATCCCCACCTTCTCTCTCTTCATCCATCCCTCCATCCCTCCATCCCTCCCTCCATCCCTCCATCCCTCCCTCCCTCCATCCACCCACTGACCCACCCATTCATCTATCAATCTTCCCATTAAGATTCCTATATTTTTTTGAGTGCCTTCGATGTGCTGGACATATATATATATATATGATTTTTAAAATGTAATTAAAAATAATTACTAAAATATATACAATTTAATATATGAAATATCACATATAAGTATATATAATATATCTAATATATTTCTGTGTACATATAGATGTAATTCATAACAAAATTCACCATTTAAAAATGTACAATTCAATATACATTTTTAGTATATTTACAAAGTTGTGTAACTACCACCGCTATCCAGTTTTAGAATATTTTCATCACCCCAGAAGAAATGCTGTATCTACGAGCAGTCACTCCCATTTCCAACTCCCTCGAACCCCTAACAACCACTAATCTACTTTCTGTCTGTACGGTTTTGCCTATTCTGAATGTTGCCTATAAATGAATTCATTTACTGGGTGGCCTTTTGTGTCTGGCTTCTTTTACTCAGCATCATGTTTTCTAGGTTCATCCACGTTGTAGCCTGTGTCAATGCTTCATTCCTTTTTAAGGCCAGATAATATTCCACTGTATGGACATGCTACATTTGTATTAAATGTGAACTGATCCACACTAAAATTTAAATAGCCACATGTGGCTTGTGGCTACTGTATCAGTCAGTGAAGATCAAGCACATGGGGAATAAGCTTGTCAGAGCAGACAAATGGTGAGATGTGAGTTCTGGGTTGAGGCACGATCCCTGGTTTGGTTAACCAACCCTGTGGGTTTTGTCTACTTGCCTGCCAGATATGAGTGAGGGATAGAGTCCTCCCAGCCCCCAAATTCCAGGACTCTACAACTTTTTATAGACCAACTTATTCTCCGTAATGAAGGGGGTTATATTCTGGGTGGAAAATGTCTGTTTTAAGACCACCCCAAACTCATATGGTTGTATCAAGCTGTATCCTGGCAGGATACATGGGGGATATCAGGGATGCTCTATCCGATGGTTTAGATACTCTGCCTTTGGGGGCCGCGGGGGGGTGTGACTTTACCCTCTGGGTCTCTGGGAGCCGGGCAGATGGTTACCTTAAAGACTTTCTTTGCCCAGGTCCTGAAAGCTTCTTCCTGCCCACAGAGCTCGTCTCCCTCCCTCATTTTCAGGATCCTCTCCCCTCCTAACTCTTCCAGGAGGGTGTCCACGGCATGTCCAAAGGCACAGAAGTGAGGGTACGCCCGGGAGCCAAGGCCAAACACAGAGAACCTGCCAAGGAGACAAGAGAAGGTCCGTGCTTGGGGACTGTGGAGTGTGGAGGTGGTTGTCTGGTGTTACTGACTCTTATAACCACCCCCACCCCACCCCCATTCATATACTGAAGCTCTAACCCCCATGTCTGTATTTGGAGGTGGGGCCTTTAACTGAGGTTAACTGAGGTCAGATGGGCCAGGCCCTAATCCAGAAGAACTGGGGTCTTACAAGAGGGAAAGAATGGCAGGCAGCACCTGTTCTCTGCACACATACAGAGGAAAGGCCCTGTGAGAACATGGTGAGAAGGCGGCCATCTGCAAGCCAGGGAGTGAGGCCTCACCAGGAACCAATCCTACCGGCACCTCGATTTTAGACTTCCAGCCTCCAGAACAGTGAGAGACTGAATTTCTCTTGTTGAAGCTCCCTGGTCTGTGGTCTTCTGTTACGGCAGCTGGAGCTGACTGAGGCACCTGGTGCCTCCAGACGGGCAGCCCCCAGCCCACCTGGCACCCTCAGAACCTGCTCTCCCTTCTCTGTATTACCATCCTCCTGAGAAAATTCCCCAGTGGTCATGAGGACGAGCTGGGGACAGTGATGACCCAGGACCATTGGCTATTTCTTGTGAGGCCCTTCTAAGCTGAAGGAATTTGTCTTTATTATCAGAAGGCTTGAATTCTACAAAGGATGCACCTAGATTAGTTTTAAGTCCAAACACAATGAAAACTGCAATGTAGTGGATCTCAGGGACCTGAATTAAAGATGAGATCAGAAGAACTTTTCATTAACGTGTTGAATGTTAGTGTAGAAACCATTCCAAAAGGGGACAGGAGTTTCATAAATATGCTGACTCCAGCCCTTGCAATATCTGAAATTAATTTGCTTCACAAACGCTCTTTGCATGGATACCACCAAGAAAAAAATGTCAGTGTTTGAACCAGTGGGGGTCAAGTTAATGAGGTTCTTCTGTGTTGAGGTGGGCTGCTTTGACCATACCAGGAAGAGTGGAGGGCCGTGTCCCAGACAGGGCCCTCTTTGCTAGGTCACTGTCCTGCAGACACTTTGTGTCCCATGTCTAGGGCTTGGTGGTTGTGGCTCTCAACCTCATTGGGGCTGGAGTGGTGGGCTTACAAAGGGGGCAAGAACACCCACCCCTCTTCTTCCCCAGGTGGGAGTGTCCTGCTGCAGACTGTCACCTCAGACAAGCCTAGAGGTGTGGCAGTTCAAGCTTCTCCCTACAAGCTCTGGCTCTGCCCCTGAACCTCTTTTTTAGGATGAAGGGGACAAGTTGGTGAAAGACTGAGAGGCTGAGGGAAGTGTGGGGAAGTTGGGAGGGACCCTCTGTCACTGGAGAATCTCCTGGAGGTGCGCCCAGGTGTCTCACAGAGCAGGTGAGGGGTACACGGGTCAGCACCCTCTCCTTTCAAATCCACGTTCAGGCTTTCTCATTGCACCCCCCTCCCCTTTCCTCATTATCTTTCCCTGGAGTTCAGAGCCTTTCCAAGGAAAGCACGTGGGATAGGCCGGCATTTTCCCCACCACTCCTTCACCTGTGATCTTCTTGGAACGGGATTCCTCCCCTTTTTTCTGAAGGATGGTGGCCTGACAGGTAGAGAGAGCCGGTGACCAGGGCTGGACTGGTGGGAGGGGTGCCGGGAAGGAGCACTTTTGCGCCAAGCCAGCCCACTCAGCCTCAGCCTAATGCTGATTTGGAGACTCCTGGCACCCATTATGCCTTATGGTTAAGGCACTATTCCGCAGACCTGAATAGTTATGTTTATGACGTCCGCCATATTTGACTACCACTGATACGGTTACTTACTAGGGTGTTTAACTTGCTATTAATTTGTACTCACTACCTCATCAAACCCCCAGTGTTCATTCACAGATGGTTCAGGCGTTTCCCAACACACCTGAAGACTTGCACCACAGATACTTCCTAGACTCACATTTCCACCCCATCTTCCCCTTATGATTTCAAAATTCCTATTTCAAACCTCCAAACCAGGAGTTGGCAAACTTTTTCTACATGGGGCCAGAGACTTAATCTTTTTGGGTTTCCAGGCCAAGAAGCAAAATTGAAACTATTATGTTGGTACTTATATAACAAGAAAGAAAACAAATTCCTGTACTTTTTTTTATCAAAAAAAACCACAATTCTTATTATTATAGTTACTGAGTATAATTTTGGGTAATATACGTCTACCAATGAGAATGGAATTCTTTTTTGGGAGAGATAGCATTTTGTTTAATTGGGGTTCCCAGGTAACATTTTCTCTCATCATATGAATTGCAAATGTTTATTTGTAAAAACCATTTGTAACTCATAGGTTGTGCAAAAGTATACACACAGGGCTGTATACAGGCAGGGCTGGACCTGGCCCGCAGACTACCTTACCAGCGCCTGCCCTATGCCATGATTGATTTAATAAGGGAAAAATGGGCCTGACTGTCAAACTATGTAACTAATGTCTCAATGTTGAGCTCAGAAAATCTACAGATGTCAAAAACCTATGTAATGCACACCCCCAAGGGTGAACCCTAATGTAAACTATGTACTTTGGGTGATAAAGACATGTCAGTGTGGTTCATCAATTGTGACAAGTGCCCCACTGTGTATATATGGGTGCAGGGAGTGTGAGAAATCTCTGTACATTTCTCTCAGTTTTGCTGTGAACCTAAAACTGCTTCAAAAAAATAAAGTCTATTAAAAAGTATACTGAGGGACATGACACTTCAATATCTAGGAACTCTGTGATCTGGATCATCCCCTAAGCATTGGTCTGAGCAGGTGTGGAAAAGGTTCAGTTACTGAAGATCTGAGAGATTTGTGGCCAGTTTGAATACTCTGCTTACATCAGCCTCCTCGTAACCAATATCTGCGACACCAAGGGTTTGACATAGTTTTCTTTCTTTCAAAATGCCCATTAAGCCAAATACACAACTGTTGAATCACAAAATATCGATGTCCTATCTAAAATCATCTCATGATATGTGATTATTATGCTTTGGAAAACATGGGATTAGACCAATACTAATTGAATTTGACTGTACATCAGAGTCAGTGGGGGAAATTAAAAAAAAAGAAAAAAAAGCAATCTTGGGCCCAATTTTAGACTCATTATGTCAAACTCTCTAGAGATGGGGTGTGGTTTTTGGTATACTGCAAACATCTCCAGGAGATTTGCACGTGCACCCAAGTTTGAGAACCAGTGGGTCAAGGCAGGGGGTCTCCAGAGCTTCTATTAAGTGTAAAACATGTCACTTGGGAAGCGCAGCTCATTGAGTCATTTCTAGGGATTAACATCCTTCAGAAGAAATGACGTGTGAGAACGCACTGAAATTTCTGTGAGGGGTGAAACTTGAGAGTGTGTCTAGGAGAGGTCACAGGAGGGTCTATGGAGTGGGCTTCAATCAATGGGCTGTCCGAGACAGAGACAGACAAAGTGCAGTGGGTTATTCAAGAGATAAAGAGGCATGGGACGGAGACCCCCTAACAGAGAGCCCACATTGCGACAGGTCCTGTTCCCCAGGGGCCTTGTCTTCCCATTGCCCGGGCGCCTTGCTCACCTCACGTTCGCCAGGGGCCCGGCACTCTCAAAGTTGTCTCTGAGGTCTGGCCCGTCACCCGATGACTTGCGGGACTCAGAATAGGAGGAAACACTATTGAATCGGACCTTGTAGCTCCTGCCAAAACGAAAAAGAGTCTCTGAGCTCTGGCTTGGAGCTCCCTCCTGTGGTCAACACCCGCATGGGTCTTCACATTACTGGTCCTGTTTCTAGGACCTTGTCTTGCCGATTGAGGGAGACCGTAACACTTCTATGGTCTCTCCTAGAACGGATCGACTTACCCTCACCTACCACAACGAGGGCCAGCCATCTGCCCCGGGTGCTGCTTGTCTTTGGAAGGTTTCTGACCACTCGATCAGGACACTTGAGACCCAGACACAGGAAGTGATTGAATTGGCAGGTGAGGGATAGAACAGAGCGCTCCCTAACCATTAGCTCATACTTCCTTGCTTCCCAAATTTTAATGAGTACAAGAGTCATCCCAGGATCTTGTTAAATGCAGATTCTGATTCAGTGGACCCAGGGCAGAGCCTGGGATTCTGCATTTTCTAACAAGCTCCCAGATAATACCAATGCTGCTAGTCTCCAGACTTCACTTTGAGTAGCCGGGAATGAGACTTGTGCTGTCCATTATGGTAGCTGGCTGTGTGTGGCGATTTTAAGTTAAATTAACTCAAAATAAATACAGTTAAAAATCCTGCTCCTTACTTGCCCTAGCCACATGTCAAGTGCTCAAGAGCCACATGTGGCTAGTAGCTGCTATATTGGACAGTGCAGATAAAGAAAACCTACATCATCCTAGGAAGAACTGGATGGTGCTGGATTGCCCCATTCACCACTCTCTTTCCACAAAGTTCTGGACATTTCAAGGATCAGTCACATTCCACATTTCAAATGAACATGGAAAAGTGTTCACCACTGACACATGGCACATAAAGAGATCGGATTTCCTATGAAATCAGTTTGAAGGGGAAGGAAGATGTCATTGAGCCTCAGCCTTAGAGGTTCAGGAATCTTGAGACTTAAAAAAATCCAGTTTCCCCGTTTTCCTCTAAGAGTGGTAAGTTTTATTCTCAAACAAGGCAAACAACAAAACAAAATGAAAAAAAAAATCCCCAAGACCAGACCAGACCAAACCAAACCAAACAACCCCCCAAGACAAAGACCCCAAACCAAACCAAAATGTTAACACAAAAACTCAACACCCAAAGCTGACTGCAAAAGACGAAAAAAGACACTGTGCTTTCTGGCAGCAGGATTTCGAAGCTGGATGTTCTTCAAAGTTTTCGCTCCAGCATCAGGAAAGTTCTAAATATATGTAAGTGTATTTTCTGCTCTAAAATAGTCTCACATTGAGTCACTTCTCCAAATAAGTCATGCAACATATCAGGGGGTGGCTGTGTTGTTAGTGTGGGAGGGATGGTTGATGGTTGTGGGGTAAAAATAACATCACATGTATTGTATGAGGTAGGAGGTTTCTCCAAATGCTTTGCTCTTTGTTATTTCCTTTCGGTCCTCACAACAGCTCCCAGAGCTGGTCAGGGCAGACACAGTTCCTCCCCATTAGGCAGATGAGAAAGACGGAGGCCCAGAGAGGTCAAATCACTTGCTCCAGGTTGCTTAGTGGGTTGATGACACAGCCAAGTTAGAATTCAGATCTCCTTGAGACCCAGATGTAGATGGCTGGGCATTGGGTACATGCACACACACACACACCTATGTGCACACACACGGGCATGCACACACACACTCTACCTGTGCTGGCTGTCACGGGCTGCAGCCAGACCACGGACCTCTGTGTCACCTTTGAGGATGGAAGGCCCTTTACGGGGAAAGAAACGCAAGGGTTCCGGGTACCTAGAGGGGAGAATCGATGGTGCCCTATCTCTCCCTGAAGGAGGGGTGAGGGAGGACTTGCTGGTGGCCACCCAGGATAGGGTGGGAAGGAGAGGGGAAGGCAGGTTGAAGGCTAAATGCTGGAGGTGGGCACAGAACGAGGGCTGACCACAAGGGACTCGGTGATCTCCTGGAGGTGGAATATATGTGAGTTTGGCCAGATGTGCTTGGCTGGAAGAAAACCAAGAGGGATTTTCTGCAGAACACAGCCTCTATACACCAGCCAGCAATAGCATTTGATGCTCAATGTAAGACACAGGGATGTGCTCTATGATGAAGGAAAATGCTGTGTTGGTCTCATTGAAAGGCAACTCAGTAGGTACGTGCCATATGTTCTCCACTTCAGGGGTATTTAAGGGCTTTTCAAGGGTAACTTTGATTACAGGTGTTTGTTACTTTACGAAATATCTTTATAACCCAACCCTGTGTTAGATGCCACTTCACCATGAACATCTTTTGACTACAGGCATTTGTTGCGTTATGAGGTATCTTTTGAACTCAACTTCCATGTTAGCTGCAACTCTACCATGAGCATCAGAAGGAAAAGTTCTAGGGGAACAAGCTCATTGCACTGATTTTTGAACGTAGGCTTCTGTAAGGGGGAGATAGTAAGAACTGATATTGACACAGCACTCTTAACTCTTCCGAAGATGCTTCCATCCATTTTCTAATTTGAGTCTTACAAATTAGAAAGTTAAGGCAGGTATGTATAAGCCCTATTTGATGGAAGAAGAAACCGAGGCACAGGGCTCTGAAATGACCAAAGAGACCAAAATATCAGCCCTGGTGTTTCACAGACACCCATTGGTTAACACAGGTCACAAGTGGACTTTTGGTCACAAAAACCATCCAGAACTCAAATGTGAACTCCAGATGCCAAAACATGACTTTTACCCGCTGAGGGTGTCATGTGACACTGAAGGATCACCCACTTACTTCCTCTCCTCGTGCACAGAGTTGGGGTGCCTCATTTCCATCAAAGCACAGCCGAATTTCTGGGGGCCAAAAGAGATGAGTGAGATGTGAAAGATGTAATATTAAACCTGGAACAGGATCAGGCACTGAGGGTCTGGGTTCTGGATGGCCAAAGAGGAGCCTGATGCCTGGGGGCCAGGATGGTAGGGATGGCCAGGGGTTCAGGCTGGGCCACAGGGCTTTAGCTGCAGGTGCACATGGAAGGGCCAGCTGTTTAAAGGACTGCAGGTGTAGACTCCTTAACCTCCCCGCCCCCCACAAACCCCCTTTGTGGCTTTCCCTATAAAAACACTGTCCCCACCTCTCTCATTTGGAGCAGGGGACACTGAGCCTTTGATTGGAGCATCCATCCCAAAGAAGTAGCTCACTCAGGTGACAAAATTTTCACTAGGGACTGGCTAGTTAGTGGACACCAATAGACGGAGGTCTTGTAATTGTCCAATCTTTGCAGAGCTTGGCTCCACATTAAAGTCAGTGGCTTTAAGGCTCTGGGAGGATTTGCTACAGAAAAGCAGTTGTAACTGCTGTCCCTCCTTCCCACAGTAGAAGCACACGCCAGGACAGGAGCAAGATCATCTCACCTCTCCATTCTCAGGGGGGTCTCCATTGCCGAAGGTGCTGGTAACCACCAGGACCAGAGTTTCGTGTTCCAGGTGCACAATGTCATATTCCTCCATGGACATCACCTACGTGGGAGGGGGCAGAAGAATAGTGGGGGGAAGGAAGGAAGAACAAAAGAAGAGAGAGTGGGAGAGAACAAAAAGTGATGGGGGAAGGAGAGAGAGGAAAAAGATGAGTCATCTTGAGCCATCTCCTCTGGAAAAAGAACCAAACGTTCTGAGTGTCACTATTTCATTTGCTCAAGTGAGTAGAATTCAAACCTTTTTTGGCACTGTGGGACCTTTCTATGGTCACTGTGGCCTAAAGGGCCATAAAGGGGTTGGGACAATGGTACAGGGGGTTGGCTGATAGTAGAGATGGATCTTGACTGAGACCCTTGGGCTTCTTAAAAACAACTGATCCGGGAACCTTTTTAGCCACATTTAAGCTGGGAATGATCTGGTTGGATCTGGATCTGACCAGGTCTGCTTGGCCTCTTTCTAATCCTCCTTCCAGCAGTGTGGAGGACCTGGGCCAAATGAGTCTGAGATGCCTGCCTTAGGGAAAGATTATTGTCCTAATTCTTAGCATCACGTGAAAAACATTTTTGAAGTAGGTTCTAGGGAAGCCCTGTCTCCTGAGATGCTCCTTGAAAATAAGTGAGTGATGAACAAGCACGTTTATATTCTATTCCCTCCAAGACTATCATACTTGCAGATTAAAGGCTCTGTGAGGTCCTACAGCAAAACAAAACAAAACAAAACAAAACCCCATTGAACTGTATTTAATGCAGAGTTTCCCAAACGGACCCCAAAATGGTTTTTCATAAACCCTCTAACATTTTGCTCTAGCGAAGGGAGTTTCATTTTGGGATCCTAGACTCCTGGAGGATTCACGGGGAGAGGGGCACCACAGTCCCTTGAGATTTATGCAAACGTGCACATGCCTGCTGATAGGCATGTTGGATGTACTTTCCACCATTCTCAAAAGGTTCTTCTCCATTGACTTCTCTCCTTCCTGTTCCCAACTTTATTTACCATGAAGGGCTGGGGAGCTGGCATTGTCCCCTACCCACCTTGGCATCAAAGGCGTGTTTGAAGATCTCACATAAGGTTTTGGCATAGGCCTGTGATTTGCCCGTCTCTGTGGCATAAAGGATGGTCGCCTTGACCCTCTTGGCCATTGCCTGACCCATCAGCTTGGCTGAGAACTTGACGGCTCTGTGGGTAGGGGGGAAGATGGAGAGGAAAATGGGAAATGTAGAGGGAGGGACGATGCCAGGCTGGGGCTCCTGGGAAAGAACCGTGATCTATGAAATATAACGGGAGGGAACCTACTTTCTTGAGCTTTGATGGCTTCAGGGACACTTGAAGCCTGAGCTTAGGTACCATATTGACTCTTATTAAATCCCTCCAGAGCAACTAGTCATGAGCTAACACAGATGGTTAGTTTTGTAATTTGCTACTTGATTGATTCATCCCTGTCTTGTGAACCTTCATTTGCTAAGCACTGGCCCCCCAGACAATCACTCATTCACTCATTCATCAAATGTTTGTTGAGTGCCTAAGTATGTGTCAGGCATTGTTATAGGAGTTGAAGAACATGGACAAGCAGCTGTCACAGGCCTTACATTCATGTGTGTGCATGTATGTGCATTTAAGTGTGTGTGAGAGAGAAGAGGGTGAAGAAAGGGGAATGAATCCCTAATAAATCACCAGGTACTGAGTTAGAAGGGATTTTAGAGGTTTTTTATAGATCCACACAGGAAGGCCCAGGTCTGACGTAGCCAGCCATGCATATTCAGGGTCTTGCACATAGCCTGATACCTAATAGGCATTAAATAAATATCTATCAAAAGAAGGGATGAATTTTACAAATGCTGCTATTACTGAAGCCCTGGGGAGTTAAAATACCAAGTCGAGGCTCTTTCTAGCTAAATGAAGAATTCAGAACCAGTGTTCCTTCCTTCCCATGGGGGTGGCAGACTGGGCCAGAGGCTCAGGAATGTCTGGGCTCACCTTCTGAGCAGGCACCCCTGTACTAACTAGGAGTCGTGGAGTAGACAAATTGCTAATTACCCCCACCTGGGGATTATTGGTGGCAAATTCATCATTTTTTCAAAGCAGGGAAACCACCCACGCTGCAGGAGCCCTGGAGCTAAGGGGGAGAAGAAGAAAAGAATAAAAGGTGCCCGGAGGGTTCCCTTTGAATGATCGGAGCATAAAAAAGCAGCTATAATTAACTCCCATTGTTTCTACCCCAAGCTTAATAGTGCAATTAATGTTTTAGATTTCTCCCTCCTTTCTTCCCCCAGATGCAGCTGAACTGAACCCAGGAGAGAATGCCTGTTGATACGCCCTTGCTGAGCTGGAAGATGGGGTTAGATGGAAGGAGGGAGATGCTTTGGGCCATACTTTGGGACCTAAGTTTGAGCCCCCACGAGAGGCACTAGTGTCTTGTTTCTGGGGTTGATGGCACAGATGGTACCTGTTGCACAACTAGAGTTCTGGACCCAAGGCAGGCCGGGGGAAGAGAGTAAGTAGCTCAGCGCACACCTAGCTCCCCTGCTGAAAGGTTAGCTCCCAACAGGGGTCTCTGCTGAGCAGATCAGCAGAGGTCTCTTTCTTCAGAAGGTGGCACCCCCATCAGATCATCTCCGTCAGACCCACCCCACTTGTCAGCTGCTCCTTTGGCTGGGTGTTCTTCAGGATAATCATTCTCTTTGGCGGCGATGGCCCTTAACCCTTCCCCTCCCTTCTTTGCTCATCTCATTCTTCAGCTCTATTGTCATCTTCTGAAGGAAGCCCTCTCTGACCTCCCAAATGCAGTTAAGACTGTTTTATGGCACTATGAATCATGCCTCAGTGGCACTTGCAATGTTTGCTATATTTATGTGATTCTTTGACAAATGAACGGCTGTGAGTTTCATAAGGATAACGATGACATTTATCTGGCTCATCAGGAGCCTAGCAGAGTAGGCACTCAGTACTCATTTGTTAGCTGAATGAATGAATGAATGAATGAACGAATGAGTGGCATTAGGTAAGAGCCCTCTGTAGGCAGTGGTGTGCTAGAAGCAGCTCCTCCCTGCTCTGGGTTCAGTGACTGCTGTTGGTAGCTAGAAATCGGCCATAGTTGGAGTATTTACACCAGGGAAACTGACAAATGCTACAAACACACTACTATTATTACTATACCCATGATCACTGTTAGGAGAGCTGGCTTACCAACACACCATGGCCTCCAGGACAAGAATATAGGAAACTGGGGTGAAGAAAGTAAAATTAGGAAGGAGAAGAGGTGTGGTGACATTCACATTTTGGACTCAGGCAAAAAAGGCACAAGGAAGCCGGGGAAAAATATCGTTATCACCCAAGAGGTCAGAGGCACATGCACTGCCTGGGCAACTTCCCTTGGGTTCCCCAAGTTTTGAGGCATATCCACCCCCCACCTACTTCAGCAGACTTACTCTGCCAGCTTCTTGAAGCCGATGGCTCGCCGCTTTGTGGGGGTCCCATTGGTGCCTTTCCAGACATGGGTGTTCCAAGGGTCAGGCTGGGAAGAGAGGACTATGGTCACAGTGGGGAGGGAATCTGGGTCCTCTTAGGAGATGCTCAGGAATCCCGGGTGCTTGTGGCTGCCCGCCATGCCCAACCCTCAGCCCTTGAAGGGAGGGATGCATGGGGCCGGGGCGGTGGGGGGATCTTTGCATAGAGCAGGTGTTCCAGCCTCCTGGCTTTGTCCTGCTAGGCCTTCCGGCTCAGCCCTCAGCCCCTCCAGACCCTTTCCTTGGGAACCCTGACTAGGCAGCCTCCGGCCCAGTGGCTCTTGAGCACTTGAGTGTCCAAAGTGACCGTTGGGGCCAAGATGTGCTCTGAGCATAATAAACCCTCCAGGTATTGCAGACTAAGCAGGAAAGAGGTGGGGAAGGGGCAGGACCTGGTATTCGAAGGAAGGGGTGAGCCGGTAGTTGAGCATCTCCTGGTGGAAGACAGGGGTGATGCTCCCAGACATGGGGGGCACGATCCACACCCAGTCCGCGGGGCAGCCCCCCCGGCAGCGGTACTCATTCTCCATGTGCTTAATGAAGGACTCGGTGGCAGAATGGTGGTCGACAATGGTCACTTTGTCACTCTGTGGGAGGAGAGGGGTCAAGGGGAGACGGAGGTCCCTTTTTAGGGACCTCCGTCTCCCACAGAGCAGCGTTTCCCAAAGGGTGGTCCCGGAGGTGGTTTTTAGGTGGCATAAAGTGATGAGCTGCATTTCTCGTTCAGTCTCCCTGATCATACCCAGGAGGAAGTCTCCATGTGCTAATGCGTCTTTACCGCCTCTCTTGCCAATCTTACTCTCCCTTCTCCCTCCTTTTTTTAATGAGAAAGAAGAACCTTGGGTGGCAGCTAGCTAGAATTGAAAAACTTTGCTTTGTTTTCTTCGTGTTTTTTGAATTTATTTAATGTTACAGTTACTGTCTATTTATGGCAACTGATACTGGCTTTCCATTTATGGTGGTGATACAAAGTCCTCTCAAAATGACAGTTTTTAAGTAAGAAGGAAGATTTTGTGCACACTAGGACAAGTAAGCTGCAGCAGTGGGTGGGCGGAATATCTGGGTGGCCTGGCTCTGGGGTCCACTGGGGTGGCGGCTTTGAATCCAGACCTTACCCAGGCAGTGCTTCCCCTCTGTCTGCAAAACCTTGCCCCTTCCTGTACTTTTCTCTTTCAATCGTTTAAGTCCCACCTGGGCTGTCTCTGGCTCGGTGGTCTTCAAACCAGTTCACCTGTCCACCAAACCACACTCCGTCATTTTCAACAACTCCCCAAAACTCACAACTTCATGGCTGAGAGAGAAGGGAGGGCTTCCTTCCCTCTCACCCCAAGGCAACCTGTCACTTCCCTGGGGTGTCCTCAAGGTGCCCATTCTCCCTACTCCGGACATGGGGACCTATGGTTGATATTCATGACTGTCCATGACTTGGTGTGTCCGTTCTCCTGTCTGTGGGTGCCCTCCATTACGTCTGTGAAGGTCAGGCTTCCCAGGTCACGAGTCCTCAGGGGCAGAGCTGGCCTCTAGCATAGAGGGACCTCAGTTCTACAGGTCTCCTGGTTTGTCCAGAGAACCCTGGTTTATCCCCACTGCCTTGACACAGTATCAGTAGATCCCTGCTTTTGCTCTCAAAAGTGTCATGGTTTAGATGATGAATCTTACAGCCATCCTACTAAAATACCACTTACTGCAGAGCCCTATGTGCTGAGGGCCCTAGATGTGTCTGTTAACGAGGATGACTATTTGTCTCTGTTATGTTCGTCTGAATCCCTAAGAGGTGACAAGACACGGAGGATGTCTGCCATCCCAGTTCTAAAAATCATAAGCAACAGGACATAAACTCTCCCTATCTAGTCATTTCTTCCTCAGACAGTCCCCACCCAAGATCCAACACAGAAAGGAAGGCACGCGTGCTGGGAAGCCCGCCTCCCGGTGGGTGAATTCCCTGGGTAGCTCGGTCTCTTGACCCTCTGCTCCAATACTCTGAGAGGTTTCAGTTCCCCACTGAGGCTCGACAGCTAGCATGTGGACCCTGGTGCTACCTGGAAGCTGTAGAGAACTGCAATGTTGATCTCCACCAGGGCCTGGTCCTTCCACAGGGACGATGTCTTCCTCGTGTCCAAGTTCATCTTCTTGGCCACTTCCTGAAAGGGGGAGGAGGCACAGGCTCACTGGCTGGGGCAACTCTGGATTTCAGACTGGATTTCATAGGGACGGAGAGTTAGTGTCATTAATGAATTTTTAAATTAATTAATCATCTCATCGGCAGAATGATTCATTCAATGTTTTTTCATTGTGAACCTACTGGTAGCAGGAAACTACAGACACTTGGCTAGCCCTTTTATTATTGAGCTTGCCTTTTAGTTGGGAAGAGAGACGGTTAATACTATGATGAGTGCTAATTCCTAGTAAGACTTTAGGACAAGGAAATTGGACGAAGAGGGATATAGAGTTAGGATTAATTGAGCCAGGATAGCCAAGGAAGGCCTGTCGAAGAGGTGGCATGACAGGTGAGACTGAAAGGATGAGAGGAAGCAAGACATTTGCAGAGGGAAGGCCCTAGGCAGAGAGAACATGTGCAAAGGCTCTGTGGTGGCATCAGGCTTGTGATACAGAAAGAACGTGGGTGTATTTGGGCAGTAGTGAGCCAGGGGATGTTGGTGGGAGAGATAGTCAGGACTGAATCAAGAGGATCTTGAGGGATATGCCAAAGAGTCGGGATTTTATTCCAAATATGACAGTGGTGGGGGCTTCTGGAGGGTTTTAAGCAGAAGTGCAGTCTGGGAGTGATAGCATCTGCTTTCTAGTAGAAAAGCTCCCCTCCAATCCTGCTGTACCCCTGGAGTGACTACTACTTGGAATCTGGATCATGGGTGCTTTGACCTCATGGGGACACCTGCCTTACTCCACCCGACAGATGAGGAAACACAGGCTCAGAGAGGTCAGTGGCTTTGCTCAAAGTCCATGGAGCCGGTTTGTCTCTGAGCCGGAGCCCAGGCAGTTGCACAATGTCCAAGACCAGGATGCTGCTCCCTAACCAGCTGCCTCCTCTGGTAAAACTACTTGGAAAAAACAACTCCTGACATTTACGTGGCAGCTCAAGCTGAGGCGGGAGCTGATGTCAGGAGTGGGGAAGACCCAACAGCAAATTCATTAATTAGAGTCCTGCTTTCCATTTCCTCTGGCAATTCTAGTTACTTGTGGGAACGCAGGTCTCATTATGGGGCTAGAATGTGACAATTTCTCAGGTTCCCAGCCCCAGCTGTCAACATTTGTACATAACAGCAGTTGTTACCAGAGGGCTGGGGCAGGAGGGAGTCTTATAAAAGTTACCCTGTGATTACTCTTTGCAAACTAAATGTACACAGAGCTCAAGAAAGCACACTTACTAGTTCACTCTCTGTAGCTGAGGTGTTAGGTTCTTCTTGGGGTCTTTTAGTAGTGATGCATACACAGAAAGTAGGAAATTTGCTGCTTTACATAAATACACATAAAACTTGAGTTATTTTATGAGCAAGGAAAGTGTGTATCGCCAGTCATGCTGTTACTATTACTTCCACAGCATTATTTTGGCTAAAAGAATGGAAATTAGTTGCAAGAAAAAAGAAGCTACGATTTAAAAAATCCCCAACTATGACTTGAGCCACATCTGTGGAATCTGCCTGAAATGTCTTTTCTTTTACTGCCAAAGTTTATACGGATTGGTGGCTGCTTAGTAGAATCTTCTGGAGAGCTTTGAAAAATACTGATACCCAGGTTCCACCCCTGAGTAATTATATCCAAATCCTAGGGAGTGGGACCTAGGCATAATTAAGTTCCCTAGGGAATTCTAAGACCGAGGACCCCTGGCTTGTTTTCCCGGCCAGCACCCATGTAATTTTAAAAAATTGAGATGTAGTTGAGCTATAACATTGTGTGAGTTTAAGGCATACAAGTCTAAGGTATTGGTTTGAAATATTTACATTTATATATTGCAATGTGATTCCCACTGGAGCATTAGTTAGCACCTCTATCATGCCACATAATTACTATTTCTGTTTTGTGGTAAGAACAATTAAGATCTAGTCTCTTAGCAACTTTGAATTTTATAATACAGTATTGTTGACTGTAATCGCTGTGTTGTGCTTTAGAGCTCCAAAACATATTTATCTCTTTTTTTATTGAAGTATAGTTGACATTATAATAGTTTTAGCATGCAACACAGTGATTCCATATTTATATATACTATGAAATGCTCACCACAGTAAGTATACTTACCATGTGTCACCATACAAAGTTATTACAATATTATTTGCTATATTCCCTATGCTATACTTTTTCATCCCTGGAACTTATTTATTTCATAACTGGAAGTTTGTACTTCTTGATCCCCTCTGGAACTGATTTATCTTTTAATTGCAAGTTTGTACCCTTAAACAACGTCTCCCCAATTCCCCCAGTCCTCAATCCCTGGTAACCAGCATTCTATTCCATTTTTATGAGTTTGGGTCTTTCGGATTCCATATATAAGTAATGTCATACAGTATTTTTTTTTCCTGTCTGACTTGCCTCATTTAGCATAATGCCCTCAAGATCCATCCATGTGAACACCCGTGGATTTAATATAAAACTAATGTTTGATTCTGACTTCTACTCTTGACTTATTTACTGTGTGAATAGGCCCAGCACTTAACTTCTCTGTTTCTAAGTGCCTTCTTTGGGAACAAGGCCAAACACAGCAGACTGTAGCTGGGAACAGTTGCTGACAAAGCTGAGCTCCAGGGAGCACGCCACCCCACACTCTGCAATAGATGAGGATGACTTAGTCAGGGAGGGAGTCAGACTCTCCACTGAGAAAAGTGTGTGGTGGGGAAACACTGCCAACCCTCCTCCCTTATTTTTCAGGAAAGAGACAAAAATGTCCCAAGTTCATGGGTCCTTCCCAACTCTTCTAACAAGAGGCAGAGTAGCCAGGTGGTTGTGAACTTGGACCATAAAGACTGGGTTCACCTCTTAGCCCTGCCACTCGCTTGCTATGTGACCTTGAGCTTGTCACTTCATCTCTCTGAAAAACCTCAGTTTCCTCATCTGTGGAAGGGGATCATCATACCTGGGGGTTAGGGTGAGGATCCAATGAGCACATAGCACAAAGTGCTTTGAGTCATGCCAAGCACGTAGTATATGCACGATAATACCACAGATGCTTCTGGCCTGCCAGGGGCTTCTCTAGGTTTGCAGGTGCTGTTTTAACCTCTTCCAGATTCCAAGGCCCAAAGCGTGGCTGTGGGGAAGGACTGCTGAGCCCACCCCCTCTGCCCTGCACTTCCCCTTCACGGTGACCAAGGAGGGCCTCACCTCCAGGATGTTGTACCGAGAGTTGTCACAGTAGTCGCGGACACCAATCTCTGTGCCCATGTACCAGCCGCTGAAGGGACAGGCGCTGAACTCCAGGCCACCAATCTCCAGCAGCATGCTGGAAACGGCTGGGAGGCCATACCACTTCAGGCCCAGGTCCTTGAACCACTCAAACCTGCAGAGAGCAATACAACCAACCTCACCATGGGGCCACAGCCTCAGAGGCAGGTAGGCAGGCAGGACAGCCTTAGTCTGGGGATGCTGAAAGACCAGTGACTGACAGGACATATTGTGTCAGAACCTGATTCTTGGGATCTGCTTCAGGCATGTGAAATCACAGCCTCCACAGCTGGGGCCTGATGATACACATTTTTAACCAGCTGCCCAGATGCACTGGATGGTCATCCAGGCCTGGGAACCACTGCCTTGGGCTGCTGGTTATCTTCAAACCCACTCTGAAGTGGAGAATGTGAGTCTTGCCCAGTTCCTACATACTCCAGGGCCTTGGCCTGGCAGTTCAAGTGCCTTCCTCCTGGAATCTTCTCTTTTCCTTCTGGGTCTGCCCAGCTCTTACCCGTATTTCAAATCTCAGCTAAAACGTTACTTGCTCTGGGAAGCCTTCCCTGACGCCCAGTTTATCTTGGGTCAGGTGTCTTCATGTCTCTAGGCACCATAACATTTCTTGTGCTGCACTTGATTGGAATTACATGGTTAGTTGGGTAACTGTAGGTGTAAGATCTCCATGAGAGCAAGAGCACCATGGAGGCAAGGATCAAAAGTGAGCTCAATACCTGGCCTGGGGCAGGAATAATAAACTGTTGCATGAGCAAATGAATGAATGTAGGCGGAGTCTCACCAGAGAGACTGGGTGAGCGCCTAGACACTGGGCAGTGTGAGAAGACTTTAGGACACCTGCTCCTTCTCCAGGACCGGGACTGACCGAGACAAGTCAGACATCTGCCTTGGGTGCAAAATTTAAGAGGATACCACAAACTCAGTAATCAAGATCAATACTTGTATTATTTATGCAGTATGCTAAATTAATTCAATGTTTAAAAAAAACAAAATTAATGCAAAACAGAATCCAGGATGAATAAAATATCAAACCTTTAAAGAAAGACAGGTCCCACCTTGCACTTGGATGACTCACCTGTCTTGCTTCACCCGAATCTCAATCCTGAACCGAATCCTGTCTTTATTTAAAAATTTGATACAAAAGAATTTAAATTAAATTTTGGTAAAAATACTTTTGAGATAATGATTAATTTTGCTTTTTAAAGATAAGGCATTAAAATATTCTTTACATTGACTATTGAGTTTTTGGTGCCTCGTCCCTCCATTTTTGCCCTCAAGACAGTGTCTCCCTGTCGATTTCCTTCACTCTCAAAGTCGGCTTCTGCTGGCCCAGCCCACACAGCAACTTCTCGGCTCCAAAGTCCTTTTGAACTTGACACACATCAGGTCATGTAGAGTTTTAAACAGCTCCCTCTGTTTAAAATCTCTGCCCGCAAGACTGGAAATAGGGTGGATCTTGGTTGATTGGTTAGGAGTGGGGTGAGGAGGGAGATGATGGTCCAGAAAAAACAGCAGTGCTCAGGCTGGTCAAGCAGGACTGATTTCTGGGGGCTCACTCTGTGCAGGCCCCACTGTGAGGAAGGAACCCAGAGCCCCTTGCAGCCTCTGTCTGGGCTGGAGAGAGAGTGAGGGGGTTGAGGATGGGCAGAAAGGGGTACTGGGCTCATCCACCCACCTCCCTCACCCACGCCAGTCCCTCTTACTTGGGGTGCCTGATGGGCACTTCTAACACCAGCTCTGGAGGAATCTGGAAGAGCTCAGGGTCATTGCCATTGGCCTGGAGCAGGAGTGGCAGGACATCGAAGCGGCCTCTTGGGGGTTTCCAGCCTTGCTGCGTGCAGATCTGAAACCAGAACCGGCCAGGTCACACCACCAGCCTCTGGACGCTCCAAACACATGGTGCTGGTGCAAAGAGCAGAGATCCCAGTGCAACCAGAGGCTCTGGGCCTCGCCACCTCCTTTAAAAGTTGTGCATCTAGTATACCTTCTTACGGACCCATAGAACAGAGGGCAAACCTGTCCTCCAGCACTGCCCTTTGCTATGTGTTCCGCATCTTCCTTGCCCACCAGCACTCCCAGGGGGCAAGTGCCAACTGGATTGTTCACCGGCAGTGCCCTGGCTCACAGGGCCCAGCAGGAAGTAGGCACTAGCCCCAAGAAATGTTTGCATTGGGTGCCCTGTGATTTGAAGAAAATCTACCCAGTTTGATGAAGGCGAATCTATCAGAATTTGTGCATAAATGCATCTTTGAGAGCATCTGTTCAAATGAAATATAAAGTGAGCCATACAAGTAGTTAAAATTTTCTAGTAATCACATTTTAAAAATTAAAAAAATACTAGCAAAGGCAGGTAAAAATAATTTAAACAATACATGCATTTTAAATGATATATTTTAATTTCAGTAACATTTAATTATCAAATAATTACTAGTCATGATTATATTAACTCATTGATACTGTATTAAAGTATTTGTCAATATAACTGAACAATATATTTGACATTAAAATTAAGTATGTAACATATTTACTAACCTAATATACCAAATATACATAATATATAACATAATTAAATGTATTAAATATCAATTTATGAATGATAAATGCATTAATATATTGAAATATATTTGACACAAATGTTTACTAACCCATACATGTATTAACTTACTACTAAACATAGTAAGTAGATTGACCCAACATTACCCACCATATTATTATTTCAATACGTAATGAAAATAAAACTTATGAATAAGATATTTTATGTGCTCCTTTTTCATTCTCAGCTTTTGAGACCGGGTGTGTATATTATATTTACAGCACATCTCAGTTTGGTCTCACCACATTTCATATGCCCACTTACCACATGTGGCCAGTGGCTGCTGTACGGGACAGCCTCAGGTAGGAGGGTTTCAAAAGATATAATTATGTGGTTATGCTGGGGGTAATTCTTTCTACCGTGTTAGTAGAAAGAGGAAGCAGAAAATCATGGGCTTAGGAGAACATGTCCTGTCAGTGAGGTTTCCGGAGACAGAAGGAGAGGAAGAGGCCGTGGGATTTATGTTCTGGTGGCCACGAGGACAAGGTCAGCCAAGTATACAGTCAGCACTCAGCCAAGCGGAGCAGAACGTCTGGCTGCATCTACAGGGACACAGGTGCCTCCTGGTTGCCCTGGTTACAGCCCCCTCCTCAAGATAATAACATTTTCATAAGAAACGCCACAAGCCAACGAAGTCAGCAGCAGTGAGGGAGTAGAGCAGCCCTTGGGCTTGCCGGCTCCATCCTGGGAGGTAGGGGTGGGCTGCAGGGGGATCTGATGAAAGAGCAAAGGTGAGGCTCCCCTTGGGGGGAGTGGGCGGTAACTAGAAGGGGTACCAGGCCTGTGTGCCTGAGTCACTGTAGGCATGGGGTCTGCCTGTGGTGACTCCCAGGGGCACAGTAGCTATAAGCTACCATCCTTGCCTGTGCTGGCTGCCCACGGGACCACCTGGAGGGCACCCTGGATAGGGAGGCGGCGGTATTCCCTTTCCTGGTGGTGCATGGACTGACTCGGGCTGCCAGAAATTGCGGTGGTGCTGGTGTCATGGAGAGTCAAGCCCACCGAAAGAGGGGCTGGTAGGAAGAATTGTTGTATATAGAAATGAATAATAGGAGTCTGATGTGTTACCCAGCCTAGAAAAAGTGCATGCCAGACGCAGCTTCCATGTGTCAGCGCCTCTTTTCATGGAGGGAGGCGGGAGATTGGGACTGTAGTTCTAGCTTTCCCTCTGCTCATTTAGTAGCCTTGGATATCGTATTTGGCTGTGGTGAGACTCAATTTACTCATCTGTGGAAGGGGACAATAGTTCCCATCATGAGGGTAAGGCGAGGTAACGGTATGAAAATGAGCAAATGACCAGCTGGACCAGGGGTAGCCAAACGGAGCAGGAGGTCTGGGGACGAGACCACCCTACCAGTTGCTCTCCCTATTATAACATTAAACTAAGAAAAGTCTGTGGAGAAAGACGGTTTGGGGTAATGAGAGCCCAAAAGGGTAGGTTGGGGCGGGGAGCACACACCTCTGTGAACTCCACGCTGGCTGGGTCCCCCAGGATGGAGCCGTCAGGCTGCTTGTAGCCGGCATAGCGGATGAGCTGGGAGTTCCAGACTCGGAAATCGTGCTTACCATCAGTCCTCTGGGGGAATATGGTGATGGCCGACCTGTGGTGGAGAGAGGGGGGCGCCTGGTGTCAGGGTGGGGCTTGCCCTTTGGGGACATTCTGGAAAAGGTGACACCCAGGTCAACAACTTCCTGAGGCTCAGGGCAAAGTACATCTGTGCCAAGGACCCCAGGGTCTATGCAGCGGCTGCTGGAAGGGAGAGACCGCCTCCCTGGCCAGGATGGGAGGCCCCAGGCCAGCTCACTGGAGGAAGGAGAATGCTGCTCTAACTAGAGACTAAAGCAATCTTGACTCGGGCCAGTTTTCCAGGGATTCTTTGGCAGCAGCAATCTCCAGGAAAAGAATGTTGGATCTTTGTTCCCTTTAAAAACATACCACCAGTGCCCACCTCCAGTCTTTCTCCTACCACCATCATTAATTCTTGCCCAATTTGCTCATCCCCCTATGTACCAAAGTCTATAGACTATGACTAAAAAGAAATCAACTTCCATATGCACTTCCATTGATTTACAAGAAAACTGGAGCTTGTCACTCGCCTCACCTACCTAAACAGGCAACCAGGATACTGTACCGTGTACTGTCAGGAAATCATAGAAAGACACTGCCGCTACCGGCACCCAGCTGGAGCCCAGCTCTCTCTTTGTTGGAAGGGAGACCAGCAGTGTTAGAGAAGTGTTTATGATGTTGCAGCACCAAGCTGAGGCTTCCTTATTGGCATCATCAGGGTTAAAAAAGATTGAAAATGGTAAAAATACTTTTGAGATAATGATTAATTTTGCTTTTTAAAGATAAGGCATTAAAATATTCTTTACATTGACTATTGAGTTTTTGGTGCCACGTCCCTCCATTTTTGCCCCCAAGACAGTGTCTCCCTGTCGATTTCCTTCACTCTCAAAGTCGGCTTCTGCTGGCCCAGCCCACACAGCAACTTCTCGGCTCCAAAGTCCTTTTGAACTTGACACACATCAGGTCATGTAGAGTTTTAAACAGCTCCCTCTGTTTAAAATCTCTGCCCGCAAGACTGGAAATAGGGTGGATCTTGGTTGATTGGTTAGGAGTGGGGTGAGGAGGGAGATGATGGTCCAGAAAAAACAGCAGTGCTCAGGCTGGTCAAGCAGGACTGATTTCTGGGGGCTCACTATGTGCAGGCCCCACTGTGAGGAAGGAACCCAGAGCCCCTTGCAGCCTCTGTCTGGGCTGGAGAGAGAGTGAGGGGGTTGAGGATGGGCAGAAAGGGGTACTGGGCTCATCCACCCACCTCCCTCACCCACGCCAGTCCCTCTTACTTGGGGTGCCTGATGGGCACTTCTAACACCAGCTCTGGAGGAATCTGGAAGAGCTCAGGGTCATTGCCATTGGCCTGGAGCAGGAGTGGCAGGACATCGAAGCGGCCTCTTGGGGGTTTCCAGCCTTGCTGCGTGCAGATCTGAAACCAGAACCGGCCAGGTCACACCACCAGCCTCTGGACGCTCCAAACACATGGTGCTGGTGCAAAGAGCAGAGATCCCAGTGCAACCAGAGGCTCTGGGCCTCGCCACCTCCTTTAAAAGTTGTGCATCTAGTATACCTTCTTACGGACCCATAGAACAGAGGGCAAACCTGTCCTCCAGCACTGCCCTTTGCTATGTGTTCCGCATCTTCCTTGCCCACCAGCACTCCCAGGGGGCAAGTGCCAACTGGATTGTTCACCGGCAGTGCCCTGGCTCACAGGGCCCAGCAGGAAGTAGGCACTAGCCCCAAGAAATGTTTGCATTGGGTGCCCTGTGATTTGAAGAAAATCTACCCAGTTTGATGAAGGCGAATCTATCAGAATTTGTGCATAAATGCATCTTTGAGAGCATCTGTTCAAATGAAATATAAAGTGAGCCATACAAGTAGTTAAAATTTTCTAGTAATCACATTTTAAAAATTAAAAAAATACAAGCAAAGGCAGGTAAAAATAATTTAAACAATACATGCATTTTAAATGATATATTTTAATTTCAGTAACATTTAATTATCAAATAATTACTAGTCATGATTATATTAACTCATTGATACTGTATTAAAGTATTTGTCAATATAACTGAAAAATATATTTGACATTAAAATTAAGTATGTAACATATTTACTAACCTAATATACCAAATATACATAATATATAACATAATTAAATGTATTAAATATCAATTTATGAATGATAAAAGCATTAATATATTGAAATATATTTGACACAAATGTTTACTAACCCATACATGTATTAACTTACTACTAAACATAGTAAGTAGATTGACCCAACATTACCCACCATATTATTATTTCAATACGTAATGAAAATAAAACTTATGAATAATATATTTTATGTGCTCCTTTTTCATTCTCAGCTTTTGAGACCGGGTGTGTATATTATATTTACAGCACATCTCAGTTTGGTCTCACCACATTTCATATGCCCACTTACCACATGTGGCCAGTGGCTGCTGTACAGGACAGCCTCAGGTAGGAGGGTTTCAAAAGATATAATTATGTGGTTATGCTGGGGGTAATTCTTTCTACCGTGTTAGTAGAAAGAGGAAGCAGAAAATCATGGGCTTAGGAGAACATGTCCTGTCAGTGAGGTTTCCGGAGACAGAAGGAGAGGAAGAGGCCGTGGGATTTATGTTCTGGTGGCCACGAGGACAAGGTCAGCCAAGTATACAGTCAGCACTCAGCCAAGCGGAGCAGAACGTCTGGCTGCATCTACAGGGACACAGGTGCCTCCTGGTTGCCCTGGTTACAGCCCCCTCCTCAAGATAATAACATTTTCATAAGAAACGCCACAAGCCAACGAAGTCAGCAGCAGTGAGGGAGTAGAGCAGCCCTTGGGCTTGCCGGCTCCATCCTGGGAGGTAGGGGTGGGCTGCAGGGGGATCTGATGAAAGAGCAAAGGTGAGGCTCCCCTTGGGGGGAGTGGGCGGTAACTAGAAGGGGTACCAGGCCTGTGTGCCTGAGTCACTGTAGGCATGGGGTCTGCCTGTGGTGACTCCCAGGGGCACAGTAGCTATAAGCTACCATCCTTGCCTGTGCTGGCTGCCCACGGGACCACCTGGAGGGCACCCTGGATAGGGAGGCGGCGGTATTCCCTTTCCTGGTGGTGCATGGACTGACTCGGGCTGCCAGAAATTGCGGTGGTGCTGGTGTCATGGAGAGTCAAGCCCACCGAAAGAGGGGCTGGTAGGAAGGATTGTTGTATATAGAAATGAATAATAGGAGTCTGATGTGTTACCCAGCCTAGAAAAAGTGCATGCCAGATGCAGCTTCCATGTGTCAGCGCCTCTTTTCACGGAGGGAGGCGGGAGATTGGGACTGTAGTTCTAGCTTTCCCTCTGCTCATTTAGTAGCCTTGGATATCGTATTTGGCTGTGGTGAGACTCAATTTACTCATCTGTGGAAGGGGACAATAGTTCCCATCATGAGGGTAAGGCGAGGTAACGGTATGAAAATGAGCAAATGACCAGCTGGACCAGGGGTAGCCAAACGGAGCAGGAGGTCTGGGGACGAGACCACCCTACCAGTTGCTCTCCCTATTATAACATTAAACTAAGAAAAGTCTGTGGAGAAAGACGGTTTGGGGTAATGAGAGCCCAAAAGGGTAGGTTGGGGCGGGGAGCACGCACCTCTGTGAACTCCACGCTGGCTGGGTCCCCCAGGATGGAGCCGTCAGGCTGCTTGTAGCCGGCATAGCGGATGAGCTGGGAGTTCCAGACTCGGAAATCGTGCTTACCATCAGTCCTCTGGGGGAATATGGTGATGGCCGACCTGTGGTGGAGAGAGGGGGGCGCCTGGTGTCAGGGTGGGGCTTGCCCTTTGGGGACATTCTGGAAAAGGTGACACCCAGGTCAACAACTTCCTGAGGCTCAGGGCAAAGTACATCTGTGCCAAGGACCCCAGGGTCTATGCAGCGGCTGCTGGAAGGGAGAGACCGCCTCCCTGGCCAGGATGGGAGGCCCCAGGCCAGCTCACTGGAGGAAGGAGAATGCTGCTCTAACTAGAGACTAAAGCAATCTTGACTCGGGCCAGTTTTCCAGGGATTCTTTGGCAGCAGCAATCTCCAGGAAAAGAATGTTGGATCTTTGTTCCCTTTAAAAACATACCACCAGTGCCCACCTCCAGTCTTTCTCCTACCACCATCATTAATTCTTGCCCAATTTGCTCATCCCCCTATGTACCAAAGTCTATAGACTATGACTAAAAAGAAATCAACTTCCATATGCACTTCCATTGATTTACAAGAAAACTGGAGCTTGTCACTCGCCTCACCTACCTAAACAGGCAACCAGGATACCGTACCGTGTACTGTCAGGAAATCATAGAAAGACACTGCCGCTACCGGCACCCAGCTGGAGCCCAGCTCTCTCTTTGTTGGAAGGGAGACCAGCAGTGTTAGAGAAGTGTTTATGATGTTGCAGCACCAAGCTGAGGCTTCCTTATTGGCATCATCAGGGTTAAAAAAGATTGAAAAGAGACTAACTTTTCACAACGTGATTCCATGTTCTCTCATGCCAGGAGCTCCTGCCACCTGGACTCATTGGTCCCATCCATGGACTGAATCTCAGGGAGACATGGGCCTGGCTCATGTCAGCATGGCGACCACATTATAGGTCCACCCATTGCTCACAGAGCCTCCCACCCGCATCCTGCCCCTGGAGCTTTGCCCTGCCATCCCCTGTGGCTGGGATCCCTCTCTGCTGCCATGTGCCCACATTTAAGGCCCGGCTCACATTCCTTTTCTCTACACAGCGTCCTCTGGCTCATCTAGCTCCCAGGACTGCCTTCTTTCTGAGCACATGTAGGTCTTACCATCTGCATAAGACAACATTGCATTTAATGCTGCAGGGATGGTATGTTGCATCTGGGGGCACATCTAGAGTTGGGGCTCAAAGTACAAGTTACATACAGCCCAAGGGACTCTTAAAAATCTCGTAGCAAAGATGCTATATTGGAGCTGATCACAGAATGAGTCAAATGGCCATGGACAGCAGTAAAACACATGGCCATTTTTTTGTTGAACACATGACAAAGAGTGTCTCTCTTTGTTATATATATATAATATAAATATTATGAATATATTAATATTCTAAAAGCATGTTTAGAAACACCAGAATCACACACAGTGGGGCAGAATACTTATTCCACGTACGTGAACCGAGTCCAGCGGAAGAAACAACACATTCCCACCTCCCATCTCCTGCGTCTCCTAAGCACAATCTCGGTGAAGGGCAGGTGGAGTTCCCTGAGCTGTTTAAATTATGTGTTTCTCGCCCACCCTGTTTCTTCTTTGTCTGCTTTTCTTTCATATGTTTAAATTATTTCCATACATGGTATATGTTCTCTTATGGCCTTCTTATCATTTCCAGACATGTGGTTTAACACTTACTTTAAAAACAGTATCAGTTGAGTATTTTCTTATCTAGAAGATCTCATGAAGACCCCCAGCAGCGCACTGAAAAAGGGGGTGTGCTGCCTGGCCTGTGGCGACCACCCTTTGCCTCCAGACAGTACCATTTAACAACTACCGCAATAGCCCGTAAGTCCCTTGAGGGTTAAGACCTTGCCCGGACCCTCCTTTGATGCTCAGAATCTGGAGGGGTGAGGTCTTCTGGGAAGAAGATCTAAATACTGATTCCCCATGCAGGCCTTGGGATTACATTACAGGCCTGTTTCCCACAGGCGGATGTGGCTAGCCAACTCCATTCCCTTTCTCAAGGAAGAGACACATCCAAGGAAAGCCATATGCTTAATGCAAACGAGCCACGTTGTGGATGAGCTCAGTGCCCTCTGGGGGGCTTGTGGGAATATCCTTGCACTGGCCCTGTGCGGCCCCAAGATGGGGCTGGTCCTCAGCAGCTGGGAACAGATGCTAGGACAGGACTGCTGAGCGGGATTAACAAATGCAGCCACCTGTCTGTGGAGCCCCAGCTGTTCCCTTCCAGCTGTGACTTCCCAGTGTGGGAGCCACCAGCTCACATGGGGGCCTTCCCGCCGTGGCCTCCTCCTCCCTGGGACCTTGTTCCTTGTATTGGGTGAGAGGAGGCTAAGGTGTGACCTGATCTGGTATAACCTGAAGGAACAGTCCCCACAGCAGCGGGAAGAGAAATTGCCTTTTAAACAGAGGGAGGTTCTGGGGCAGCTCCAGGCAAGAGAGCAGGACAAAAGCAGGACATCACCAGTTGTGGGCTTTTCTGAATCCCAGGAGTGGGACAAAGCCCTTTCTGCTCCATGGGTGATACTGGACTGCAGATGACTGTGATTTTGGCTGCCGCAGCTTTGCAGACGGCACAGGGGTCTGTTTCTCCTGAAGGAGATGGGACATGGCAGGTGGAACAACGAAGCCAGGCCACATCTCCCAGTGTGGCACATCTCCCTGAGAGGAAGGGGGGCATTTCCCTGACAGGTAAGCCAGTCAGGGGTCGATGCTTTGGGGACAGTCAGCTACCCTCCCCCTGCATGGCTCACCTGAGGTTCCCTTTGTTGGTGGCATACTTGATGTGGTTGCAGATGTAGTTGAACATCCCATGAGCCGTCGTGCAATCACGGGCATCGAACACCTGGAAGGGGTGCATCAGGGGATTGAGTGCCTCCTCCTTCCCCCCATGGCTCCTCCAGGGCAGCCTTCCCCCTGAAGGAGAGTCCAGAGCCACTCCAGCTGCTGTCCCACTGGACTAGTAAGCTCCTCCCTCACTAGTGAGTCCCAGGCTGGGTTTAATATTTTCTTTCTTCTCTCCCAATAACTACAGTCAAATCAAACCAGTAAAAATCCCCTAGAAGTAGGCATGGAGTAGAACTGAATGTGGGAAAGGGTTGGTGAATACAGGAGGGATTTTAATGGACTGGATGTATTTCCTGTTAGGTTCCCAGGGATCTGGGGTTTAAGACAAAACAAACAAAAATCAAACAAAACCCCCCTAAACTTGATAACTAAGCTACTCCCAACTTCAATCTATTCTCCAGGTAAAAAAAAATATCATACCAGGGGACATAGAATCTAATGTTTGCAAAGAGAATAGGTGGAAGACAAAAGGGAGTGGTGGGGTCTGTGGTAAATGGGAATGTATAAGCCCCACCAAGAGACATGCAAATTCATTTTTAAAAGAACACTGTGGCTAAATAAGACAAGACTATAAACTAGGTTTGGTCATGATCTGAGAATTTGAGACCCCATGACTACCATCTGATTGTTCACCATGGCCCTTAGAAGCTGACCCTTTTTAAAGATCATCCCTCCCACCCACCAAAGGGCTCCCCAGGGTATCTGAGCCTCCCCACCTACCTGCAGCTTGGACCACTGGATCCTGCCGACACAGCGGGAGGCATTCCGCCAGGCATGCTTGGCCCCATAGATGAGCTCGGTGTCTTTGAGCTGGTAGGTACTGGTGATTTCAATCTCTTTGTTCACCTCTTCCAGCCTCTCCATATGGGCTTTGGAGCCAAATCTGAGTGAGAAGGGAAGAGACACAGGAGGGTCAACTTCTCTCCTGAATTAGAGGTTGGTGGATGGACTAAGTTATTACAGGAGGCCAGAAGCCACTGCCAAGTCTGAGATGATACCTAGACACAATAGTTTAAGCATAAAGCAGAGCCTGGAAACGCAAATGCCCACAAAGGCCCCGTGGTGACAAACTGGCTGGGTGGAGACTGTGGCAAACAGGCAAGCCCTTGCCTGTCCCAAAGGGGGCAGCCACAGCTCTGCTCCAGCCAGCTGTCACCTGGATAGGAACGGGGGCCCAGTGCTGCCAGATCTTCTTTCAAGAGACATAGGAAATCTGATTTTTAAAGGTAACTCCTCTAATTTTTAAATGAGTGGCAATGAATTCAATTTTAGAAAGTTTAAAAAGTTTTTTGAAAAATTTGACTTACAAAAAAGTACAGACACCAATATAATGAACACCCAAGTCTCAGAAATATCATTATAGTTCCTTAGGGACTGCCTCCCCATCGTAGTCCACTTTCTTCCCAGAAGTGGCTGCTATTTTCAATGTGGCATTTACTGTTCACATACTTTTGTTTATATTTTTGCCACATGTGTATATATTCCCTAAATCATGTAGTTTTATTATGCATAATTTTATAAATGGTGCTTTCCTGAATGTATACTTTTATGATTTGTGTTTTCTTTCTTTCACTCAGTTATTTGTGAGCCTCATTCCCATGAACACACAGAGCTCTAACACATTCATTTTTTTACAGCTGTATAGTGTACCAGTACAGAAAATGCCACACTTTATTTACACATTCTCTTATTGACAGAGTTACGGTGGATTCCAATTACTTCCTTAATTTTAATTTTTTTCCTATTATAACAATGTTTCAGTGAACATTTTAATGCATGCCTTCCTGTGAACAAGTGAGAGAGCTTCTTTAGGGTATGTATCCGGGCACGGAATTGCTAAAATGTTTCAAACTTAAGCAACATTTTGCAGGTCAAACAAAAATACTTCTGGAGGCCAGACTTGGAGTTTGGGCCACCAGTTTTTGACCTGTTTATGGTGCTTAGAGACCCAATGCTTAGGCCTTGGTTCAACTGTCTGCATACCTGGAGCTGAAGTCTTTGTCCTGAGTACGGTAATTTACCCTGAGCTCCCCAGATTGACCTAAACTTGCCTTTTAATTGACGAATAGTACTGATCGATAAACTCTTTGGCGAGAGGGAAGAGCTGCTCTTTTGTGCGGATGTCTTCAGGCCTTCGTATTTGCTGAGAGGGGTGCATGATGGAACCCATACAGATGTGCTCAGTGCAGCCCGTTTCCTGGAAGGAAAAGAGAGTTGGGCTATTGCTTGGTTTTACTCAAGAGTGGTACATATTGGGCTGCAGACCTGGATCTGCCGTTCATGGCAGCGTTTACCTGGTCTTTAATTCCCACATGGGATTTCTCAAGTACCAGCTTCAAATCATTGGCAGATGCGGTCATCAGCCAAGATAAGGAAGGACAAACACCATTTTTAGGTTCTGAAAATGTCTGCTCTGCTCTCTTGGGGGAAGAAGGGTTTTCCAACTGGCATTCCCTGGGAATCAGAACCATTGGTACTGAATCCCAGGATATTTTTTGATTCTCCAGTAATCAATAAGGAGCCGGTAGAGTGCCTACAGTAACTCATCTGAACATACCTATGGGATGTTGATTGCAAACTACAGCTCCAATTCTTCCCTTCCCTAGATTCACACCTTTTGCAGGGTGACTTTCCAGCAATTCTCATCAAGAGGTAGAGCCTATTCCCTCACCCCTTGAATCTGAGTTGCTTTTGGACAATAAAAAGTGGCAGAAGTGAGGTGCCCATTCCAATCTTAAACTTCAAAAGGTCTTCCATCTTCTGCTCATTCTCTCAGAATCGTGTAGCCACCACGTGAACAAGGCAGCTAGCTTACTGGAGGATGAGAGGCCACACAGAGCAGAGTCAAGTTTTCCTGGCCAGGACCCTCCGAAACCAGCCTGCCCTTAGCTGATCCCTCAGATGACTGCAGATGTATGAGACGAACAGATTAGCAGAACCACCCAACCAGTCCACAGACTTTTAAAGTGGGTACGCCACTTTTAAAAAGCATGCCACTGTTGCTTTATTTTTTTAATTTTAGGACAGTTTGTTATATACTGCAATAGCTAACTGCAAGAGGCCCATTTTCAACAAATAGTTGAAGCAATATATTGACTTGTGGAGTGTTAAAAACATGATATAAAAACATAAAGGACACACTGTGAAAGCAAGGAAGGATTTGGTTTGCTCAGTACCCCACCAGCGGCCAGACTGTGAGAGACAAAGAAAAGGTATTCAGAGCCAACAACTCCCATCAGATTCATTTGGGTTCAAGGCACACAAATAAAAAATATAAACGTGAGAGAGTAAGTATTCATCAGCGTTTCTCAAGTGGGAGTGAATTTTTCACCCAGGGAACTTTGGACAATATCTGGAGACATTTTTGGTTATCACAATTTCAGAGGGGGCCACTGACATCTAGTGGGTAGGGGTGACAGGCGATGCTAAGCAGCCTAACATGCACAGTACAGTCCCCACAACACTTGTCCAGCCCCAAACGTGGGTAAGGGCTGAGGCCAGGAAACCCTGGTCTGTACCCTGGTGGGATACTCACCAATGTGCTCTTAAGGTGGAGGGTGTCAGTAAGAACCACATCCGTCTCCCAATTCTTGACCTTGAGGAAGCGGGGGCACTTGGAGGGGCTGCCATTCTTTGTGGGGGACTGTCTTCCCGAGGCAGGGGGCTGGCAGAGAGAAGGAAGACAGAGCATTAGACAGGATCTTGAGAGCCCTGGAAAACTGTCGCCAATAGGATGGGGAAGGGTGTGGCTCTTTCTGGAATCTGCCAGAGCAGATCACAAAAAACTCTGAAGCACTCATACTGAAAAGTGGCACTCAATAAGCACTTACTATGTGCCAAGCAACAACTTTATCACCCTCATTTTGCAGATAGGGAGACTGAGGCACAGTTAGCTAAGTTGTCTATGTAAGATCACAGAGCTAGTAAGTTAGAGCCAGGAGTCAAATCTGGCAGTCTGGCTCTCAAACCACATCCTTAACTGCTTGACTCTACTGCTCCTTGGGCATTATGCATAATTCACTTATTCATTCATTCATTCAACACATGTTTATTGAGTATTAGTTATGTGTCAGCAAGGTAGCAATGACCAGGGCTACAGGGACAGACTAGATAGATGTGACCCCTGCCTTCATGGAGTTCATAGTTCAATAGGGGGATCACAACTGAATGAACCATTATCACTGAGTGCAATAGGGCCATAATATGGGATGTTGGCAGTGCATAAGGGCAAACAGAAGCACATAGTGGGGCACCTAACTGGAGCATTTGGCTTTTAAGTCAAGACAAGTAGGTGTTAACCAGGCAAAGAAAGGGGAGCAGGGTCATGCAGGTAGAGAGAACAGCTTGTGCAAAAGTCCTGAGGTGAGAGGCATATCACAACCACCTTTCTGGCCAGAGGAATAGGAGCTCTGTGCTGAAGCATCCATGCCACCATATTGGAATTTCGGGGAACAGGAGGAAGGTGAACAGCATGCCACTGTTACAGGTGGCATCAGAGCAGTGCTGGGAGCGATTGCAGGGAACAGATGGGAGGCGCTCTGACTCATGACCTTCCACACCTCTGCATCCTGGCCATCTCCAGTGACTCCCATCTCAGTGCTGAGCACTACCATCCATCCACCCATGCACGCCACAGGTGGGACTGTCCTGGACATCACCCTCTTTATCCCCCACCCCAACCCTCCCTGACTCCCACCATATTAGCCTTCTAAATAGTTCTAGAAGTCATCTGCTCTTCCTCCTCCCCATCTACTGGCCAGCGCCCTGTCCAAGCCACCAGCATCTTTCTTTTGGATAATTACAATCACCTGCTGAATGTTGGCCATTTCTTATTACTATTGGTGTTATTATTCTGCTATATTAGGACAACTTCTTGTCCTATTAATACTGCTACTGCTACAAGTATTATTACCACATGTATACAGGAAGCGGGAGAAGGTCAGTTCTTCCTTTCACTCCCCATTTGCACTTTCTATCCTGCTAAACACTATTTTACTGAGGTCCCCTTGTGAAGCCGCCTACAAACATCCCCACCGGCTTTCAAGGCCCAACCTGACATCCTAAACACTTTGGGATTTTGTCTCCACTCCTGTCTCTTCCAGCAGACGTGCAAGTGATGGAAGTCATATCTGGGCAAGAGTTTGTAGGGACAGATTGCTCTCACTGTGCTGACAATCTGAATCCGTGACACACAAAAAAAATCCTACCTTGCCCATGTGGGAGGCACCCCAGCTGTCCTCCTACATACTGGGCATCAGTCAGCCAGTTTACAAACTCTCTTAACCGTGTGCCTTAATGACGTGGAGGCTGAGGAGCAGCTGGGACCCCAGAGAGGGCATAACAGACCTGGTGTTGGCGTTAGGGCTGGACTCAGCCATGGAGCGGCGGGAGGGCAGCCGGGTGGGGAGCAGGGGGAGGCGGGAGGAAGAGATGTGGGGTGTGGCTGGTGGGCGGGTGCCGGCAGCCTGTTGTGGCAGGGTGTAGGGGGGAACGAGATAACGGGCCTAATAAAAGAGGCCATCTGTTGAGATTGTAGATGTGTGCGGGGTGGTCATTACGAGCCAAGTAATTGGGGGCCTGGGCGCGAGCAATGCCACTTTCCACCCTGGGCTGCTCTGAACTGCACACTGGAAACCAGGCTTTAGGAGGCCTGTGGCAGGGCTGTTGTACTTCGGGCTTTGATGTTTTAATTAGCCAGCAGTAATATTAGATGACTCAGGAGGGGGCAAACGGAGAGATTAATATAGCAGTCAGGGGCCCTGCATGGGGGATGCAAATGACTTTCCTGAGTGGGGACTGAAGTGCTTTGGCTGAACATGCAGATGCGTGGCATTTGTGAGTTACTGTGCTGGGCCCAGGGCACAGGTGGGCTCTGGGCCGCAGCTCTGCATGCCCTCTTCTGGATTTGTGTCTAGGGCAGACAATGGAAGCTTTTCTAGGTAGATGTCGGTGGCAGGAGACTTGACCCCAGGGGTTCTGTGGGAAGGCTGCCTCCTCCTAAATTTGAAAAGGAAGCTCTGAGCTTTGAGTGCCCACTTTAAAGGCTATGTCAACACCTCTGGCTTTGGGAGCCTGCAGTGGCTGGCTGGGAAGAATGGGAAGAAATGGGCTGCAGCCCAAGAGGAGACAGTCAGGTGAAGTCATGTCAGTCTGGGCACGGGAGCCAGGAATTCAGCTTTATAGGATTCCTAATGCCCTGATTCCTTCTCCCCTCTCCTTCCCGCCCTCCCTCCTTTCCTTCAACATACTGAGCACCTACTATGCGTGAAGCACTTGTGTTCTAGGCTCTGTAGCAGTCCCCACTCTCATCCCACAACTGGGAAAACTTGTAGCTGTGTGTTCAAAAGCAGACGTCTGTAAACTGCAGCCTGTGGGCCAAACCTGGTCCGCTGCCTGTTTTTGTACAGCCCGCAAGCTAAGAATGGTTTTTTCATTTTTAGCTTGTTGAATTAAAAAAAAAGTCGAAAGAAGAATAATGGTTCATGACACATGCAAGTTGTATGAAGTTCAAATTTTAGTGTCCATAAATAAAGCTTTATTGGCACACAGCCACACTCATCTGTTCTGATGTTGTCTATGGCTACTTTTGGAATACAAGGGCCAAGCAGGGTAGTTGTGATGGAGACCAAGATCATATGGCCCACAGAGCCAAAAATATTTCCTATCTTTCCCTTTACAGAAAAAGTTTGTAGGCCCAAAGGCTCAAATACCAGTGATTGATCTCTAACTACTTATCCTTATGTCTTCACCTGCTTACTGCCACTGTATTAGCAACAGCGTCCAACCCCATTACTCTCTGTTCCCTTACCATGCTTATTTTTCTTCAGAGTGCTTACCACTGTCTGCATTTTGTGAGTATATATGTATTTTCAATGTAAATGCATGTCTATATATCTTATATATATCTATATATCTGTATGCCTTATATATATTTAGATATAATAGTTTTTTGCCTACCCACTGTTCACTCTGCTTTATCCCTAGCCACTAAGACCAGAATCCAGCACATAATTCATGTGCAACAAGCCTTTGAGATCTGTTATAGACTGAACTGTGTCCTTCCTGAATTCATATGTCAAAGCCCTAACCCCCAGTATGACTATACAGCTGACCCTTGAACAACATAGATTTGAACTGTGTGGGTCCATTTATACACAGAGTTTTTTTTTTTTTGGTATCATTAATCTACAATTACAAAAAGAACATTATGTTTACTAGGTTCTCCCCTTCACCAAGTCCCCCCCACTACCATCCATCCACCCATGCACGCCACAGGTGGGACTGTCCTGGACATCACCCTCTTTATCCCCCACCCCAACCCTCCCTGACTCCCACCATATTAGCCTTCTAAATAGTTCTAGAAGTCATCTGCTCTTCCTCCTCCCCATCGACTGGCCAGCGCCCTGTCCAAGCCACCAGCATCTTTCTTTTGGATAATTACAATCACCTGCTGAATGTTGGCCATTTCTTATTACTATTGGTGTTATTATTCTGCTATATTAGGACAACTTCTTGTCCTATTAATACTGCTACTGCTACAAGTATTATTACCACATGTATACAGGAAGCGGGAGAAGGTCAGTTCTTCCTTTCACTCCCCATTTGCACTTTCTATCCTGCTAAACACTATTTTACTGAGGTCCCCTTGTGAAGCCGCCTACAAACATCCCCACCGGCTTTCAAGGCCCAACCTGACATCCTAAACACTTTGGGATTTTGTCTCCACTCCTGTCTCTTCCAGCAGACGTGCAAGTGATGGAAGTCATATCTGGGCAAGAGTTTGTAGGGACAGATTGCTCTCACTGTGCTGACAATCTGAATCCGTGACACACAAAAAAAATCCTACCTTGCCCATGTGGGAGGCACCCCAGCTGTCCTCCTACATACTGGGCATCAGTCAGCCAGTTTACAAACTCTCTTAACCGTGTGCCTTAATGACGTGGAGGCTGAGGAGCAGCTGGGACCCCAGAGAGGGCATAACAGACCTGGTGTTGGCGTTAGGGCTGGACTCAGCCATGGAGCGGCGGGAGGGCAGCCGGGTGGGGAGCAGGGGGAGGCGGGAGGAAGAGATGTGGGGTGTGGCTGGTGGGCGGGTGCCGGCAGCCTGTGTTGGCAGGGTGTAGGGGGGAACGAGATAACGGGCCTAATAAAAGAGGCCATCTGTTGAGATTGTAGATGTGTGCGGGGTGGTCATTAAGAGCCAAGTAATTGGGGGCCTGGGCGCGAGCAATGCCACTTTCCACCCTGGGCTGCTCTGAACTGCACACTGGAAACCAGGCATTAGGAGGCCTGTGGCAGGGCTGTTGTACTTCGGGCTTTGATGTTTTAATTAGCCAGCAGTAATATTAGATGACTCAGGAGGGGGCAAACGGAGAGATTAATATAGCAGTCAGGGGCCCTGCATGGGGGATGCAAATGACTTTCCTGAGTGGGGACTGAAGTGCTTTGGCTGAACATGCAGATGCGTGGCATTTGTGAGTTACTGTGCTGGGCCCAGGGCACAGGTGGGCTCTGGGCCGCAGCTCTGCATGCCCTCTTCTGGATTTGTGTCTAGGGCAGACAATGGAAGCTTTTCTAGGTAGATGTCGGTGGCAGGAGACTTGACCCCAGGGGTTCTGTGGGAAGGCTGCCTCCTCCTAAATTTGAAAAGGAAGCTCTGAGCTT